TCTAATCTCCAAGCAGATTCTCTTTGCCTCGCCGGATCTGCTTGGAGATTGTGTATTTTCTGACAGAAACGCAGACGACATTTTCGTCTTCCCAATTAAATTCTACACTGTTTGTGTCAGGCTATATTTGCATAGTACCTATCAAGTCTGTAGTGTAAAACAAAATACATGAGATTGTCTTTAATATGTTTACCCGAAGGAAAACATTTTTTTTGCTACGTTTCCTCTTCTTCTCCAAACAGTGACCTCTGACCTGGTCAATGACCTGAAGCAGAACGTGTCTCACCATGGTAACTAGTGTTAGGTTACATCATGTTGCAGTTTTATAACAGGAGGGATTTAGACTCCTGTCTGACCATATATGTGAATGCGTTTGAGTAAGAATTAACAGAGAAGACCATATGCGAAGGTAAACATTATGCATTTGCTTTGCAAATGTTACCTTTCTAGTTGCCTTCCGTATGAAATATACATAACCGTCAACTGTCAAAGCGCGGGAAAATGCCACAAGCGCAGATAGATGCCATTACATTCTCGTCCCCAGAGGACTGTGATCTGAAGGCCTCGTCCCCAGAGCACTCGGCAGGCCTAATTGCCTTGACTCGAGCGCACAAGAGCTCTTCCCGAATGCACAATCTCTGTGCCTCACTGTTACAGCTATTCTGCCTCGTATGTTTTGTTGCGGTTTTGGGGGTGGTTTAGAATGTCTTAACACCTGACAACAAATGCTTTACATGTATCTATAAACAGTCATGTTTTGAGAGTTTTTACCATTGAACACAGCAATAATTTGACACTAGATATGAAATTCTTACTTCATCAATCCCTATATTCAACATTTCGCTTTATTTCGTGTTTTCAATATAATTCGTAGCGCCCTCCGAACGTTCGAATTCACTCCCTTGGTTCATTATACATTCATAAAAGCCAGCGTTTGCTATGTTTTCCTCATGAAATTTAGATTAAACCTACCCTCCAAGCAGAGGTTGATGGTGGAAGATCGTTTGCTTTTTATATGTGGCCCTTTTTTTCTTTTTTTCTTTCTTTTTTTTTTCTTTTTTTTTTTTGGTCGCAACCACCACCAACGCCCCTGCCTCTAGCACTAGAATCTTCACATCCGAACACACGCCATGTTCCATGTTATTCTGACATTGAATATCTTCAGTCTGTTCCTTGCTTTGAAGCTGTTTTCTCACCTGTGGATAAGGTAACACCATTACAGGTGTGTCATAAATCACTCTACCTGTCCGTATGCATGATCCTTACCGTACCGTTACGCGTTCCCCCGCTTCGAGGTGCCATAAAACAAACCCACGCTGGGTTGTTATAAAACAAACCTACCATAATAAACCAACAGTACCCTAAGGCCAAACCAATTTAATTCCTTGGTTACCGGATTCACCCGCTTCATTTTTTTTTCTGATTTGCAAAAGAAAAAATTCAGAATCAACTGCAAAATGCTCATATTTTGCCCTAAACGGTTGAAAACAGTCCTTTTCTTCCTAATTGTTACAATTATTCAATGCAGTGGTATCATTAAAAGTTCAAAATTCATTGTTTAAATTTTGAACCGGCCTGGTGTGTTAACGTCATGGCTCCTATAGTGCCATTTTGGGCCATAATAGGATGCCTAGGCCTGTTTTTTATATTTTATTTCGCCCGCCCGCTCCATTATTTTTCTAGAAAAATCCGTTAAAGAAATTAAATTGGTGTGGCCTAACAGTACCCTAACACATGATTTAGTACAGGGAGTCCCAATGGGTGTATAAATGAATAAGATGGTGGAAACGCCTGAGGTTAGTTACCGTTATGTGTGTCAGTTTGAAAAATATACGCTTCGTTCCGCGCCCGAACGACCGCCGGGATTAACCTCAATAACCTGACCACAGGGAGGATCATGGGAAGGCTGTGGGGAATGACGGGACGGATCGGGACAAATCATGGCTTAAAAAATGGCGCCATACTTATTCTCCAAGGAGGTTAGAAATCAACTGATTTTGACTTCCTTGTCATTCTCCAATTAACTTTAATAACTTTCTTTTCAATTTTTTTATTACTCCCCGTAAATATTAGCATAATTTTACTTTCATCATTTCTGGTCCAAGGAGCGTGATATGAAAGGCTTGTTTCTATTTTCCAGATATTAGAAACTTTATGTGGAAATAGTAACAAGTTTAATATGGCTTTCGGTTATGTTCGAATGCTGTTGTACACGTGTTTTTGATTACGTATCATATGTACATAAGACCAAGGTTTATGTTGTACCTCATCAGTCTATTGTGTCCAGTTCTGTGAGTGATTGATGGGGAAATGATGGCAACATTTCGTGAGACTTAGAACATTTAACGACAAATCAATGAAGAACGAATTGCGTATAACATGTCTTTTGTTGTCCAAAACACTGAAAACCTTACCATGCCATAAAGCAATCTCCAAGCAGATCCAACGGCACAACAGTAATCATTGGCCAAGAAGTGACCATTAGCCACCGTATGATGTGCTTAGAGATTTTAATAGTCATAAATAAAGTACTCCCAGTACTCGTTTTAGCCAGACATCAATATCAACAAAATAAAGCAATTCTTGTGTGCAGTATAAAGAGAAAACACGTTGTCCAAAGGTTAAGCAAGTCATCAAAAACGAGTAAAGAAAAATGAAAACAAAATAGGCATAGATGTTCAAACAGGGACTGACCCCTGCATTTTCATGACTTGCTTAATCTTTGGACAAGCAAAAGCTTAATTAAGTCAAATTTGTCCCGACCCGAACCGCAAAGAGCAGTTTCTGCTACGGCGTACTCAGGGGTGCCAGAGTACAGTCCAATTTACGGAATACAGTGCAATTTTAATAGTATACAGTGCAATTTTAATAGTAAAATTGCACTGTATACTAATACGATTGTATTGTATTTCGTAAAGTTGCAATTTCACTGTATTGCGTACAATTGCACTGTATATTACTACAATTGTACTGTATTCCGTAAAATTGCACTGTATTCCGTAAAATTGCACTGTATTCCGTAAAATTGCACTGTATTCCGTAAAATTGCACTGTATTCCGTAAAATTGCACTGTATTCCGTAAAATTGCACTGTATATTCTTGCACCCCTGGTACTGAAAAAAACGTCGTGCTGTGAGGCTAAACCCGTCAACACTCCCTTCAGGTACACAAATCCTCCCGCGATCTGCCGGTCTCTGGAGATTATATCTGACTTATTACGCCATCAATCTTTCATAACACTTCGGGTCTTGTGACATCCACCAAATATTGATTTTTGTAGCACAATATTTTCATACGACAGAACTTGTGATATATCTCTGGCTGAGATAGGTAGATAGATAGCGTGGGGAGTCAATAATTAAGTCGTAAAATCACATGTACTGAACTGCGAGGCACGGTACTATAGATCATAAGAATAGAAGGGAAATATGAGGAATAGAACCATTATTTTTTGTTGGTGAGCAGGCGTTCATTTTCTGTTGGTTGTTGCCATCTATGAATGCCCTAACGGAGACCAAAAGATACTGTAACGGTCACAACACATAGTAACACCACAAGCAATCATTTGTTAGTAAAAAAAATGCAGATCCCATGTTTTACGGATATTACAAATTCACCCGAAATATGTTAAAAAATGACGACTAGACGCAGAACATTGAAAAGCCTTACGTTGGAAGCGACGTCTAGCTGTTTTAGCGTATACTGCAAACAGTGGCTGAATACGAGCAAATGTTTTCCTCTCATGATTTACCTTTCATTTGGCGAAGCAAACTGCAGGAATTCGAAACAGGTTGCACAGGTTACTATTTAACGCCTTTTTGTGATAAAGACCGCATTGTTCATTCTATAACGTTAATATATCTAGTTTCTGTTATCAACTAAATTCTCACCTTTTCATAGTCAAAACAGGTTGCTAAAGATTCAAGAAAAGATTTACTCACCGTAAATAAGCAACTGCAAAACTACTTTGCTGCAATAAATACCTTTGCCCAAAATAAAATCACTCTTCGAACAAGAGTTCCACGATCTCATACCTTCGCCAAATGATGTTAACCCTTGCGGGGGACGAATTATACAATTTTTATCATTGATTTTGTAAATAAGAGCCTCATTTGCATGGATTATATCAGTTGATCATATTCTCCATCCAATGACAGCCTTATCATAACAAAAAGGCTATTATAGCACTTCCTCATAAATTATGCAAATCAGGTCAAAATTTGAATAAATTATATTTATTGATGTTCACCTTCACTTAACTTGAATTCCAAATGTGGCAAGTATGAAATTCGGGGTGCAGCAGTTACAACTATGGAATTATAAGAACTTGCCATTAATTATGCAAATTAGGTCCTCATTTACATAATCTATATCCTCAGATGTTTTTCTCGTTCTCAAGTAGATGTCACAAGTGTTTCATAGTTCTATTATCGAACAAAGCAGATTTATAGAATTTCCTCATTAATTATGCAAATTAGCTCCTGATTTGCATAATTGCCATCTGATTATGTCAAGCATCACTTCAACTACCTACATACCAAAAATCACGAGAATACGTCAACCGGTTCTTGAGTTATCGTCCTTCAAATTTTTTTCAACAAATGCTCCTGCAGTTCCAGAACAAGGCGTTAGGGGACCCAAACTCATGTCACTTCTTCCCTACCCCAAGAGCTATCTACCAACCAAAATTCATGACCCTAGCATGTCCAGAACATGAGATATCAAAACCGGAAGTTCAGCTGCAGTACCTAGGAAAGCCGCAAGGGGGCCCAAAATCTAATCATTTCTAGGTCTCATAAAGACCTACCCACCTACCAAGTTTCATTCCAATCCATCCACTGCTTCTCGAGTTATCTTGCTAAACCACACACACACAAACACACCCACACACAGACAAACGCTACTGAAAACATAACCTTCTTGGCGAAGGTAAATATGAATTTTTGTTTTGATTGAGAAAAACTTCGGTCTGGTCACCCCCACCGAGGAATGGAATCACCTGGCGTCCCATCATGCTTGTGCAACAACGACAGGACAAGATGGCGGACGTGATTTCGTGAATTTTCGACCTCTCTTACAGTCGATAACTTTACTTTCCTGACAAAAATTCCACATGTATCCCCCGATCCGTACCATCTAAAGCTTCCCGAGAACATACAGAAGGTAATTTGAGCAACATTTTAAGTATACAAGCTGTTTGGACGGTAGTTTTACCTTAGTTTTTGTGAACGTTTTCATGGAGATCGAAAACGCAGTTCAGAAATTTTGATGCTTTAACTTGCGTCATTTTTGACGATGAAAATTGATAGATACTGTCAGAAATCGTCTGAACCAGTTGTGTGTGTCAGTAGCATGAGAAATTCCGCTTTATTAGTCGCGTTTTGTCGTGTGAAATTCGGTAAAACATTGTGCACACAAAGTTAGAAACACGAAGTAATTGACGAAGTACTAGCAGTATATATATATATGTACTGTAACGTTCCAGAATTTCTCCCAAAAAAATTGCGCACTATGTGTCCTCACTATATTTGGTCACAGTTGCTGCAGCTCAATGTGCTGTATCGTTGTGTTTATAGATAAACAGGGATACCAGAAAAGTCTACCTTTTTCGTGAAGAGTTAATCAAAGTAGCTTTACCAGATTATTTTGCTGTTGTTGTTGTTTCAATTCGTTGTTGTTGTTGTTGTGCTTCTTGTTGTTATGCTTCCTCAACCGCAACTGTATTGATGATTTGTTGTGAAAGGTATTCCAACACAAGTTTGTATCTTTGTGAGGGGTGAAGACTTTCAAGCCAGAACCAAATTCACTTTTTCTCAAATCAAAATTTGCAAAATAGAAAATTTGTGAACTAGAGTCAATTCCGCGTCACCGAGTGGGTTGTTATTGTCATTATTTAGAAATGTTTTGAATTCTTTGTAATTGTTTGTCTAAGAAATTTCATAATTTGGAAATATTTTGAACATCTTGTCAATATTCTAAATAATTCCCTGGTTTTCTAAAACGTTTGAAATATCCCTGATGTGGATTATGACATTTCCAATAGTTTCTAAATATTTCTAACAGCACTCTACCATTTTTTACCATTATTTCGAATTATTTCTAACATTTTGTAAATAGGTCAGTGGGATGGGAAGGAAGTAATTCACACATCCCTGTGAAGTACAGGGTAGACTGCCTGGGTGTCAGGCATTGATGCCTTACAACAAAAGAGCCACCAGTGACCAGCAGTGAAACCTAAAAATATACAGAAGAATACAGAAGAGTAGGATTAGCACCTACTTTTATGGGGGCAATTACCCACATCTACCATTTTTCATTTGTTTGAAATAGTTCTAAATATTTCGAATAGTGAAAGAAACAAATGGGTAGTTCAAATTTATTCTAAATAAAGAGATCTTTGTACAGTCACTTTCAAAATGTTTCAGAAATATATAAATGAATTCAAATATATTCAAATTTTCATTTTCAAATTTTTGAAAAATTTAGAACTTTTGTTACTAGGGTATTCTTTTCTTCTAAATAATTCAAACGTATTAGAAACATGGAGAAAAAACCCACTCGGTGACGTGGAATCGACTCTACCCACAACAGAAAGACATAACGTTTGATTAAAAACAGTTAGTACCAGTGCACATGCACCTTTTTTGCCTAAATTAAGTCATTGTGTGCCTCATTGACTTGCTGTGAACAATACATGTATCTTTGATATCACTTTTTTTTATGGGAGGTGTTAATATTATAATAATTTGTTGCTGTTAGTGTTAGATATGTGGCAAGGATGTTTGTCTTGGAGTTAAGTCTTAACAAAACTTGTTGTCTCAACTAGCCGTGGCGACTATTGATTCGGGCTTACATTGCATTACCCTCAGCAATAGTCGTGGAAAGATCCATTGGCAGAACTGCACATTTCCCGTTGGCTGCTCGATGCTCCGTTTTTGACCCGGTTTTTTGCTGTCCCGAGCTTCCCTACAATATAACTCCACAATTGGCCGGGTTGCCGATGTTTAGATCAGCCTAAATATTCCACAGCGCGACAGAAAAGTAGTAAAATAGCTAGTCGGCACAAGCTGGCGCCATCTTGGATATAGTCGGGAATGTCCGCTACCGCCGTCGGGAACGCTCGGTAGCGTCACGATTACCGAAGCCCGACCGAAAGCTCTCCGATTATAACCGGAAAGGCTACCGAGCGTTCCCGACGGCGGTAGCGGACATTCCCGACTATATCCAAGATGGCGCCAGCTTGTGCCGACTAGCTATTTTACTACTTTTCTGTCGCGCTGTGGAATATTTAAGCTGATCTAAACATCGGCAACCCGGCCAATTGTGGAGTTATATTGTGGGGAAGCTCGGGACAGCAAAAAACCGGGTCAAAAACGGAGCATCGAGCAGCCAACGGGAAATGTGCAGTTCTGCCAATGGATCTTTCCACGACTATTGCTGAGGGTAATGCAATGTAAGCCCGAATCAATAGTCGCCACGGCTATTGTCTCAACCAGTTCTTTTCATTTCCCTTATCTGATTAGTTGTGTACGTAAGGATCTAATCAATAATAAAATCAACTTTTGTGATCACCAAACATTTTTATCTGGCTTGTGTAATACCCTAAGATCATTTGTTGTAATGTTTGATTTTTATTCTTATTAGCTGATTCACTGCTATGATGCACCTGCTGTACAGTACGCTTAAAAATTTGTAATGTACAGGCATGCACCTACTATAGAAGAGTATCAGCAAAGGTTCAACTACTAGTACATGTTTCATGCAAATTTTGTTTTGTGTTGAGCTTAGCACTTTAGATTTTCAGTAGGTAGTGGCCTTTTAAAAGTTTTATACATGTATGTATTGAGGTATTGTTAGTTTGCTGTATGCTTGAATGCAAGAAGCAGCCATCAATTTCAATATGCCTCGTTACAATGATGTACATTAGTTAATTTAGTAGTCATGAAAGAAAGCATTTGCCATCGCAGTATTACTGACGTCTTTGTGTTTTGTTTTTTCTCCTGCCTTGCAGTGCATGGCCACAGCGCTCTAACCCCAGCCGCTAACCGTGACCATCCCCGCGCTTGGGATGGCCAGACGCACTAATCCCAACCGCCAATACGACAGCTGCAGCAGCGATTCTGATTTTTCGGACTGTGAAGAGAGACAAAAGAAAGTTTGTGGTAACAGGTGAGGACTTGGATGTGTGCCCAGTGTGCTGTTACCCCACTCCTGCATGGTGTTCTAGTACTGTATGGAACACATGCATGCTGAACAGAGCCATTGCCTTTCAAATACAAATGTAGATCATCATTTGCATCCCTTTATTGTGAAGTTGATGTGATCACTAAGTAGAGTTATATTTTAGATGTTAATGAAAATGTTTTTGATACACATGTACTAACAAGTAACATGTACAAATTATTTCCATTGTAGATGTAAGGTTTTATTCCTGTACCTAAGAAACCATTGTTGTCTTATTAATTGTAATATATATTGTAGTGCATCTTATGCGTTTGTAAAAGATAAAAAAGAGTTTTTATTGATGTCTAGCGTTAAGTCACAAATCAACTTGTTAGAACTTGTAAGTAAGTGTAACTCTATTTTGACATTAATTTTTCCAAGGTTTCTTTGTGGACATTAACAGAAAGTGGAGTCTAAACTCTAAAGCATGTGTGCAGTATCTAACTCTATCACATGCAATATTTGTCCCCAGACTGTACAGTTCCCCTCGGCCTAAGATCAACATGAACTCCAAGCTGGGTAAGGTGGCTGTCGGGGACCCGTCCAACCCTCGCAACTGTCAGCCGCCATCTTGCCTGAAGAACGCCGTGGCCCACGCCGCCCAGAACGCCGCGGCCGCCTCGGGTGGAACGGTCGCTAGAAACCAGGTTAGTTATACGGTTTCATGTAAACCTGAGTGAAATAATCAAATGAAAATTGAAAATCTGTGTTGGTAGAATTCATAGTTGCAAAGTTTAAGCTTAGTTCCAACACAAAAGAGAACTCACCATAAATTTTCGGTCTAGCTCATCATACATCTGATGAAGGTTGATGAAAGTCAAAGTATAATGCTGATACTAGTGATAGTGTTCAAAGCTTTGCTACTGCTGGTATTTTTAGCCAAGCTCATTGTGTAACTCCTACTCTTCAGTTCTGATTATATGTGTTTGGTTTCCTACTTGCAGATACATGTATTTGACAATTTTCAGGCAAAAACCTGAAGCTCTCCTATTTATAGATGTTTGATTATGTTCATACCATCATATTAGAATGAATGAATTTTTGGAACTTACCAGTGTATGCCAACATCTCTGTATGATTACTATCAACTTTTTTAACATGACATGAATTTTGTTCTGCAGCAGTCAGTGGTCTACACAACAAAGGGTTCTGAGAAGATCACCTTGGTTGTCGACCAGACCAGATTCGTGGTGGATTCCAACCTGTTTGCCAGCCACCCTGAAACCATGCTGGGCAGGTTTGTTTGTTTGTTTGTTTGTTTGTTTGTTCTATAGTCTATAGCTGCATGTATGTAGATGTATGCAAGGGGCATACAATGTATGTGTAAACATATAGTCAGTGTACATTTTATGTTTACCAAAGGAAAACATATTAATAGTATTTTTGCTCAGTATCCTCTTCTTCAAACACATAAGGTCAATCAATGACCAGGACCAGATGTCTGTAACCATGGTAACCAGTGTTGGGTTACATAATGTTGTGCCAGGCAGAACTGAGTTCAAAAGAGACTGTATGGTCACCATATATATGACTGTTTGAGTAAGAATAAACAAAGCAGTAGTTTGTTAAGCTGGACCATGTGAAGGTAAACATGATGCATTTGCTTTGCAAATGTTACCTTTCTAGTCATTTTATGGGTTTCATTGATATCATCCTAGACAAACCTATATTATTGTTGGTGAAGTTTACCTGTGTGCACTTGTTTCCTAGGATGTTTGGTACCAGGGAGAATGACTTGGTCCGTCCGAATGACAAGGGAGAGTATGAGGTTGCAGATGGAATGTCAGCTAGTGTCTTCAGAGCCATCCTGGTAGGTTTGCAACTTTGTTAATGTATTTCTTCTCTTCGTCTTGTAATACAAGTAATCTTGTATCTTTTTTTATTATGTACATGTAGATATGAGTATTATGTTACCAGCATAATATTTCCCTTTTGCACATAGAGTATTGTAATGTACATTTTTTCATTATGGTACAGGAAAACCCTGAAAAATTTTTGATGCCTACATCTTACAAATACAGTAGTTTTCTTTTAGCTGGTATAGCATTATAAAATGCTCTATGTGCCTGCCAAAAAATTAGACAACATTTCTTGTAAGGTTACAGACAAGGGATATCTTTATCTATAAAGATTGTTACAATCTATGGCAGAAATTCTTGCAAATTTTTGTACCTTCAACCGTAACCACCATACAAAAACATACATTTCAGGACTTTTTAAATGACTTTTATTTCAATGGTCTTGTTTTCTCCTTGCAGGATTACTACAAGTATGGACAGATCCGCTGCCCCCCTGATGTGTCTATCCAGGAGTTACGGGAGGCCTGTGATTACCTCCTGGTGCCGTTTGACTGTGACACCATCAAATGTGTCAACCTACGTAAGTACAGTCAAACTTGCCCAAGACCCAGAGGACTGAAGAAAAGTGGTCACCTTGGACAGGTGGTCTCCTTGAAGAGGGTCATGACTAGTGCTGCGTATCGGTTCACTGGACTTGGATCCGGACTTGTAAGAATGTTTAGGTTCAAGTCCAAAAAAACATAAAAGTCAAGAACCGAGTCCGGACTTATTACCATAAAAGACCATTTCACATACCCCTTTTCTTTCCAAACCACTTAAAACCTTCCGTAGATTGCAAAATCTTTGCTGCAAAATAAAGAAAACATTGCCATTGGGCATCGTCAAGTACTGGCCTCTATGTTATATGGCCAAAGTTTCACCCAGACAACATTGCAAGGTTGCCAACACGCAATTTTGTATATGTCATGGGTTTAGGTCCGGACTTCCGAGTCCGGAACTGAACCTAAACCTCTGGACTTGAATCCAGACCTGAACCTAAATGTGGGTTTAGGTATGCATCACTACTCCTTGGACAGGTGGTCTCCTTGAAGAGGGTCGCTTCACAACATGACTGAGACATAAATGGTTTCCAAGTCGAGTTTTAATGTCAAATGCTGTAAACATCTTCAGTTCTGTGGTGAATGCATGTGGGGAGGGTGGCACATGGAACAATTTACATCAAACAAAACATTGTCCACCAGTAAAGGCAAACTGGCTGGTTTCTCTCATGTGGAATTTAGGAAGGCTCACAGCTACTACATTCTTTGCTGAGTGTGAACATGTCTTACCATATGTGTCAAGGTCTTGTTCTTTGGGTATATAGAATACAGTCAGTGTACTTGGAAACGTTATTCAAGTTGTTGTTTTTCATCATAGAATACATCTATGGCCAGCCTGTCACATGTTATCATGATGTGGAAATAGTTTGATTGACACTTGTGTTTGTGTTATGTAGGGGGCCTTCTCCATGAGTTGTCCAATGACGGTGCCCGTGAACAGTTTGTGATGTTCCTAGAAGAGCTCATCATGCCCATCATGGTGCAGTGTGCTCAGGTAAGGACACCAGAACTCTGTCTATACATTGTCAAGTATGTTATGTGTGTTGGTAGTTACATATTTTAAGTTAAAACAATGTCCAACACAAAGAATAGTTCTCACCATGTCTATACATTGTCAAGTATACCATCATGAAAGTTCATCTGTGTTGGTAGTTACATGTTTAAAATTAAATCTTAGTTCAACACAAAGAATAGTTCTCACCTAGAGCTTTCCACCAGTCACTCTGGTCTTCCTCAGTGGTCTAGTGACTGGTCGAAAGCTCTAGGTGAGAACCCTCCTTTTGTTGGAATAAAAGTTTTTAGCCTATAACATTCTCACATATACAAAAGAAACACAGCTTTTTTATACATGAGAAACCTTAAGTGCTTTTTAAAGATCTTGAGAAGAGATGTTGTTGTTGTTTGCTTGGTGTGTTCTGAATGTTGATGTTTGTTTATGTGTTTGTTTGTTTGTTTGTTGTCCACAGAAAGGAGACCGTGAGTGCCACATCGTAGTCCTGACAGATGATGATGTAGTGGACTGGGACCAGGAGTACCCACCACAGATGGGGGAGGAGTATTCACAAAGTAAGCTAAATTTAAAAGCTATGGGCTTGAATCTAGCTGTCCTACCAGTTATGTTTGAGGGATAGCAAAGGCCTGTTCTGGCACATTGATCAGGATTTTTCTTGTGGGCCAAAGAATTTGTTAAAACGTCGATGAAGGTTAGACATCCAGGTAATACGATATGCCAAAAAACAGTTACTCAAGCAACTGGATATGATTTGGGGGGCTACGGGTCGATCTTTCCGGCACTTGGGATTTGGCACTCCCAGCTCCGAGAACAGACAACACTTAAGCTCCTGTCCTGTATAACAGGAGCTTTCAGACTAATTTGCATCATCTTGTCTTGACTTGTCTGACTTTTGTTCCTTTTTCGACTTCCAAAAATTTGTCTTCACTTTATTTGCATATCAATCAACAGGTTGTGTATATAAACCTGCTTTCCCCTCCTGTCTCTCAGTCACTGACGAAAGCTAGTGGATACTAGCTGAAACGTCTGACGTTTTCAAAATCATATCCAGTTGCTTAAGTAACTGTTTTTTGGCAATTTGTTAAAACGTCTCAAAGAACTTGAGTCATTTTGTTGTGTATTAAAATGCACTTGTGTAACAGTATATTTCATAGAAAAAAAAGAAGTAGTCCTTTGAGGGAATGGGCTATTAATCCACTGTGTCTAGGATACAATATTGGAAGGCAGAGCCCATCCCTCTCCTTCCACTGACCAAGGCCAGTTTCCCATTTTACACCTGGGTGGAGTGAAGAAAGTCGTGTAAAGTGCCTGTCCCAAGGACGCAACATCAAGCCAAGAAGGCTGGGAATAAAACCCACAACCTCTCAATCTCATGTCCTCTAGCCTAGGTCCTTGGCCTTTGGACACCACACAAATTTCTTGTATTGACTCCAAATGATTGGGAGATCTTTGTGAAGTGTTGAGTTTTCATCATGGTTGAAACTAAACTGTTTTGTTTTTCAGTAATCTACAGCACAGCAATGTACAGATTCTTCAAGTATATAGAGAACCGAGATGTGGCCAAGGCAGTGCTGAAGGAAAGAGGACTGAAAAAGATCAGACTAGGCATCGAGGGCTACCCAACATACAAGGAGAAAATCAAGAAAAGACCAGGGAGCAAGCCTGAAGGTTAAAACTGCATACCTAAATAAATTTCTGCATACCTAAATAAATTTTTGCACGACTCCACTAAAGATGAATACATGTAGATAACCTGTAGTAAAGTGGTCGAGTTTAGTAGTTCTTTTTGATTCAAAGCATTTATTTAAGATCCCTATTGAAGAAATTTATTCTTGTTGGCAAATAAGGAAAAATTGCCTGTAAAATGTGTGAGATATACTCGATAAAGGTTAGATATCCAGGTAATAAGATGCATGTACCAAAGTAAGAAGGTTGACTAAAGATCTCTTTCAATCACTGAAGAAAGGTAATGGATGCTACTTGAAACATCAGACCGTTTTTGGAAACTATTCAGTTGCATAAGTAACTGTTACTTTGATATGTACTCGTATTTCCCCAGAACTATCCTAGACTGGAACTCGTTGCCACCAAGCACAGTTGGGGCATCATCGCTAGAAAGCTTTAAACAACTCCTGCAATCAAATGTGCAAAGATTAAGTGTAACAAGTCACTCTGTGTGATATAGCTAGCTGCCGCCGTGCCGTGTGCCTGCGAAGCTGGTGTGTTACGCCGAAGGACAGTTATACCGGCTATACCGATACAGATACAGATGTACACAAACTGATTTTGATTTTATTCCCTTCAATCCACAGTGATTTACAACTACGTTCAGCGTCCCTTCATTCGCATGTCGTGGGAAAAAGAAGAGAACAAGAGCCGCCATGTTGACTTCCAGTGCGTCAAGAGCAAGTCCATCACGAACCTCGCTGCAGCGGCGGCCGATACGCCCGCAGACCAGGCTATCGTGCAGCAGAACGCTCCCGCGCCCGAAGAGGAACCAGAGGGTGCGGTGGGGGGTTCCCCTCCTCCCATGCCACTTAGTGTAGAGCCATATCCAACTGTGCAGTTACCCATCGAATGAGCCTCATCTCTCAACACTTTTCATCTAGAAAGACACTAGAATTTGGAAAGATCTAACAAAACATTAAACCTCTCTGTAACTATATGAGTTTGAGGTGTACAATCAACTAATCGAACTAGATCTTCCAAAATCTCATTGTCTTTCTGCATCTAAAGTGGTTAAAAGATATCCAATTCTTAAAGGTTGCCTTGGCACAATTTTGCCACCCGTAATTGAGTGAATTACTGACGTTTCTGCTAACTTTTTTGCTGGACAAAGACGAACTAAAAGAAAATGAAGGAACGCCATACCCAAGTGTTGACCAACTTGGCAACTGTTTTGGTGTTTCTTCAATCGAGCCTTTTGTCTTGCCTTTGAGTTTGGAGTACTGTAGTATTTATCCTGACAGACCACTGCAAGTATGTTTTTGTCAATCTCTCTGGCTAATATATTGCTATAACATGACAATTAACCAGACTGAACTATTGCAAGTCTACTGGAGCGCAAAGGACAATGCAAAGAACTTTAGTGCTGTATGAACAAATTATCTGCATCCATACAAATCTTAATTGTGTTATATATGTTTTCAAATACGGCTCTGTTGAATTATGATAAGCATTTTGACTGCATTGTTACTTGATGTAATGTTTATATCTGATGTAAGTTTTTTCTGTGGTTTATTATAATAATGTTTCATTACCTTATTTACATTAGTTGTTTTCGAAAGTCATATGCAAAGATATTCTCATTTTTTATATGAGTTACACAAAGGTTCTAAAGAAGACACTTGAAAATGCATTGCTTTCAACTGCTTAACAATTAAGCCTTAATTAAAATGATCAAGAATTGTTGCTCTTTGTGATGAAGTATTTTATGTTGACGTTATTTGTCACAAATAATAGTACATAATAGTTGTAATCTTCACAGTGCTGTTGGCAAAGATGTCCTCTGTGTATCATAGAAAAGTTTTTACCAACTTTGTGAACAAACATGTTAAAGAACATGCAATAATATGTTAACTATGGCATAAAGATCTATCTAGTCTTGTCAGGTTAGGGTTGTATCTTGTTGATATCTGCTAGTTTTCCAATATGAGCTATTCTAAAATTTGTTACTTTTGTAAAAAAAAAATCCATAACTGCAATTACATAAACAGTAGATACACAAAAGGCACTTGATAGAAATATGTTGACTGTATGGGTGTCAGTACATGTACAATGTATATGCAAAGATTATACCATTTTGCTCACAACACATAAATACTTAGCAAATTTTCTTTGAAAGCAAGATTTTTGAAATGATAGTAAACACATATTGATAGAAGCGTATACTTGTCAGAGATGGGACATTTTAGTAATGTTTTGTTTCTTATATTGCCAGCATATGAAAACATAGCATATGATGTTCCAAGCTCATCATAAGAAAGCACAATAGAGAGCCATTCAAGTTAGTATATTTATTGTAGAGAATCTTTTTTGAAACTGCAGAATTTGGCACACTAGTGTTCTGCAAGGTTTGCCAAGTGTAGAGTATTTTGTTATAAAGGTATTATAATGCAGTACCAAATGTGGGGTATTCTGTTTCACTTAGGTTCATGTTTGTAAAGGGCTGTTTCTGAGAGAGAACCAAAGCTCTGAGCATTGTCTAATAAATTGTATTTGCTTTATTATATGCTTGCTTGTGGTTTGTTCTGTTGATTTCACAGCATATAGGGTACCAGATGTGGCCAGATTAAAACATTGGCCAGATTAAAATGAGAATCTGGAAAGATAAAATGTCAGACCGAAAATCCATAAGGATGACGGTGTAATGACGCCCTCTGGCGGTTTATTTACAAATTGCACGCCATTTGGCGCGTCATCTGTGCATGTGACGATCACGCGGCGTGCTTATCTCTGATTGGTGGATAAGGTCCGCGCCCCCAACGCTGATTGGCTACTTCCTTCCCATTCTCCTTGCTGATTGGTCAATGTAATCTGTATATATATTGTGTCCTGCTCAGTCCACACTTCATGCCAACAGCGAAGAGAGGAGGAAGGGAGAAAGGGGGCGGCTTCGTTTCAGGTAAATTTTAAGGATTTTGGGGTCCCGTTTTCCTCAATATTACGGACTCATCATATGCGTGCAGCTTCATGCAAACACACAACGCTAATTTTGTCGTGATATCCGGAAAAAGCCCGCGGCAAGAGCAACCTTTGTGCCGTATTAGGTTACCGTTAGTTTCCTGTGCACTCAACCATGAAGGTGTTTTTGACCTCCCAACAAAAGTGGTCCGATGTCTGCTTTCATGATTTTAATGGGATTTTATGCTTTTTCGTCGTTATATATTGCATAAATTTCACAAGGAAATACCTCTATAAATTGCTGTAGGCAAACTATGACAGGAATTTCTTTTCTTTTTGCCGATTTACGAAGCAAAAAAAAAAATGCCCCCTTTTGACACGTAAGCCGATTTAGCAGGAAAATTTGATTATGCTAAAAAAGTTGCATAATTTTTTGTGCCTCCCATTTCTTTGTCTTGTTTTGCCATAAGTGATCCACGAATAAACTAGATTTCGATAGAATAATAAGCTACACATGTGCTAGAAATATCACAGATGTTACAGATCAGAGTGAACTGGTTTTTAAACTTTAGTTGACCCAGGGGTCATCATGACCTATATGAGTTATAGGTGAAGGACAGATTGGTGAAATTTCTGCTCCAGATTGTGCACAGATTTCTTTCTATTCCTGCTGTTGTACTATTTACGGAGTTGGAATGCAGTTAGAGGTACCACAACAAGGCAAAAGATACCCCACATCAGTCCATGCCCAGCTTTTTATTTAGAAACAACTTGTAAAGGTGTCACCACCTGTTGTTTTTTTTCTCCCAATGCATTAATTGTATCATTGGCAAACTCTCGTTTTTCCTAGAAAAATGGAGTTCATTTGTGTGTACAATGTATAACGTAACGTTTTTAAGTTTTGCCTTGGTGGCTTGGTCATATAATTTGGTAAGAGTTGCGGGATTTGTAATTAAAGGTAACGTTACATGTGCAAGAACAGTTTTATGCGGCGTTGGTAACGCCCCCTAACTTTGTACTCAAACTTTGGCCTCAGAGACCCAGTATTTTTACTACAGTAGTATAGAGTCCTCTTGTGCAGAAACGTGCTGTTACTAGGTAGTAAATCGTGTGCTAATAGTCATAGTTACACGTTACAAGGCAAGGCATACATGTAACTAGGACTATTAGCACACAATTAAATTTGTAGCCTACTGGACTTTGTGCAGTGGTGTCATGTTGCCCTACTAATGTCCACTAGCTTAATCTCCAAGCAGATCATACGGTGGCAAGGCACTATCTATTGAATTGGCCATAGGAGTGTCCATTATTAGCCACCAAAGGGTTACCAATGGATACTGCCTGGCCAATTTGCAGGCTCCAATTTAACTACTGTCTTTTGCGGCCACCGAAAGATCTGCTTGGAGATTACTCTAGCTGGGGTCAGCAGGTACCACCATTTGGCACTGACAGGTCAATGTACAATGTTTGTTGTCGCAAGTGGCTACGTGGCACTTCCTATGACTGGTACTGCTGTTAGGGGGTGTGGGCCTGCTTGCTGCCATACGGACTGCATTAGGCCACACCAACTTAACTTTATGGATGACATCCGCGCGCATTGATTTTCGCCTGTCGCCCTCATAAAAAAAAAAGATCACCTCCACCGAGGCTCTAGGCCTGGGTAGTCCATACTAGTCAGCGACAAAACTGAGCCGAGCACCCAGGCTATCGAATTTGAAGCTCCACGACTCAAAATAGTTACTGTTTGTTGTGATTTGGCTGCTTAGTGTTTACGTGTGTTTCCAGAATGGGAAACTACAGATCCAATATGTCCACAAGTCTTCGCTCCATTACCTACTAGTAGTCAGTTGTGTTCGACCTGCAACTATCTACAGTCAACACTACTAGATTAGTAAAAGCTCCTCATAGCTGGTCTGGTACACATTGTTGACTCAATTTCTGCCAAGGTACACCACCAAAACCCCCCTTGTGTTAAGATTACACAAGAAGCTAAAATGAAATGTACTTTGGTAATCCACAGTCTAGACTGGTACTGGTGCTGTTCCTCTTGAAGTTGAAATTCACTTGTTTATTGGAACATTCCATGTGGCACCTTACTGTTACACAAAAGAATTATAAGTGTTGAGGTTGGTAAGTTTAAAGGGCTAAAAGAAATTGTCTAGAATGTTTCCCACCAAACATCAGTTACTATTCCCAGAACAGCAAAGGGGGCCCACAAGCCCTTTTCCGTAGAGCGTAATCGGCCGTTTTAATTCTACGTAGAGTGTAGACGGACCGCTGTAATATTTTTGCGTAGAGCGTATTCGGCGTTTTAATTCTACGTAATGTGTTGTAGCCACTTGGAATTTATCGTAAAACGTAATCGAGAGGTTTCCGAATTCAGCGTAGAGCGTTGTCGGGACCCCCCCTTGCAGGCCGTCAGCAAAGAGTAAAGAAAGAAAGATTGAAGTCACATTGACCCACTTTGTAGAAACCCAGAGGCCTAAACTAGGCAATAGTCAAGGTTGTCATGCTATAATTAGGGACAGCAGAATATCCTCTGAGTTTAGATACTGTTACCACAGTGCATGCCTGTCCAGTGTCCTCTTGCACTTTTCATACTGTCCATTTTTATCACAGTGCAACCAAAGTCCACTTATGCAACCCAGAGGCCTGACATACTATCACATAGCCCAGATTCCATACCTAGGGTCATATGGGAGTCAGTAGGTCTTTTTACCTCCCATGTCCCTTATATAGGTCCTGGACTCTGGTATAGTTTTCTAGATATTATCCTTGCCTGGTCTCCTTGGACAGCTTTTTTGCTATGCTAGGCAGATATCAATGTTGTAGAATGCCAAAATCAAACGAAAAAAGGCGAATATGTAAAGAAATGAATTTGAAGACTAGATTATTCACCAAACTATAATTCTGTATCATTTGTTCAACCTTCAAAACCACATAGATTTCATAATGAAAGCAACTTTTTTTTGGCCAAGCTTTTTTTTTTTTTCGCACGCTCGCATCCATTTTGGGGTTCCCAGAGGATGTCATCCATATAATCAAATCAACTATTCTATTCTTCTTTGGCAGTTCAGTCTATGACAGACTATCAAATCAACATGGCCTTAGTAAAAGCAGGTTTCATCTGTAGGCAATCTGCATTTCTCTTTTGACTGGTGTATATGTGGCGTAGGTTTGAAGCATTTCTATACATGTATGCAGGGTTGGACAAGTCCCATTGCCCACTTGCAAGTAAAAGTACTGTTCGGGCAAGTGAATATCCCCCTGGACTTGCCCGATTGGGCAAGTAAATTTTTTGGATGCAAAGTATAGCACCTGCAGCATTTTGACCAAGTTTCAAACAATTTTGATAAATTAAGCATCCAATATTATAAACTCTATCATAATAAAATAATTTCCTTTCTCCTAGTAAAATGCATAGAAATACTTCATATTTTGGGCAAGTGAAAAGTTGGTTCGGGCAAGTGGAAATGACTAGGCACTTGCCCGATATGGCAAGTGGATTTTTGAAAACTTGTCCAACCCTGTGTATGTACTTCTTTCTCTCTCTTATATCTTAATAAGTTGTTCGGTGTGATATAGCTAGCTGCCGCCGCGCTGCGTGCCTGCGAAGCTGGTGTGTTACACCGAAGGGCATTTATACTGGCTATACAGATGTTACATATACAGATTCAGGTCTACGTCTATTCTCTCTCCCCCTCTTTCTCTTGTTCTTTGTCTTGCCCTTCATTGTGATATTATTTGTTCTTGCCAGTCTTGTGAGCTTGGTTGTGTGAAAGAAAGATTTATATTGAAAATTCTACTACATTTGTTGAACAGCTGTCATTGTACGTTATACAATACAATGAACTACTAGTTCCACTGATAAACAGTGTCATGGAATGTGAACCTGTGTGTGTCACCTGGCTGACATTAGGAGTGAGTTAGTGAATAGACCCAGTGTGGTGGAAAATGCAGACATCACGTGCAGGCCTCCAGACTGATCTACAGTTGTGTAGTTTGGATAATCTCCAAGCAGAGGTTGGTAGGGAAGATAGTAATTCTGTCACTACTCAACAGAAAGCGGGGTGCTTTGGGGCACATAATATGATAGAAAGGTCACAATCTTCCCACCAACCTCTGCTTGGAGAGTATAGTTAGGAATCCTTCTCTATCCTAACTAGGGTTGTCAAATTTGCCTTTCTCAAAACCTTTCCTTTTCATTTGTAACACAAACTATTGATAAGACTTCCCTTGCTTTGCAGGTATCAAGATAAATTTTGGGGGGATGAAGAATAGAGAAAGTCCAATTTGAATCTTGAATTGTCATTATGTTGTGAAGGGGGTCATAAGTTCAGAAAAGAGGCACAGCCAGGGGTCTGGTTTCCAGGTTAGTTGACACAGTGGTCATGTTCCTGCTGCTATGTGCTGTGTGTCTGGAATAATGGAGTGACCTTGGACAAAGGATCATTTACATAGCAGCATTCTTCCCATACTGGGGAACTCTGTCATGGTCAGTTTTAAAGTTATTGAATGGAGGCCAGAAAAATCCTTGATACGACACAGTCACATGTAGATCATCAGATGCTTTATCACAGTCATGTACCGGTACAACGTATATGAATAACATGACTGATGATCATGACGTTGCAATAAAAGGAAGTGGCCTTGGGAGGGGGGCTTTTCCAGATTGCAGTCACACAAGGTCATCATCACTATTCTGTTCATGCAGTCTGTGCTGCTTGTAAATTACAAGCATTGGGGGCTGATCTAAATATGCCTTTTTGCAGGTCGACATCAAATATTCAAGTTACATAAGTCAGAAAATACTTCACGGTATATTGAAGCCATGTTGACTGTGATTCTAACATATGTTGTGCATATAGTGGTTTAAATCTTTGATGATAAGCAGGAATGACATATGGTTGCCACGTTAGCAAAAAGTACATGTGAGCTATGCCTTATCACTACTCAGAACCAGCTGAATGCAAGCACCACCCATTTTGAAGATAACTCCAGTATGCAGTAGCCTAGATGCCATACCCATACAGGCCTCGAAATTACCTTTTCTTCCTATTGTCCCAGCACTCTCCCAAAAATAAATTTTTAAGTGAAGATGAACTGTCCCAACCAGTTTTTAGGGAAGTATTACAATGTACATGACTTCAACTTGAAGTCAACTTTATTTTGCTTACGTTCGGACTCCCAGGCGCACTATAATTACAGAGTAGACAGGAATTTTTTTTGGGGGGGGGGACTTTTCCAGAGCCAAAAGCTGGGACTGATGTGCCTGATAGACAAAAGAAGGACTGACATTCTGATGTTGATTGCTGTTCTGTTGTCCCAAAAATGTCCCAAAGTGTCTTTCTAGTTGTCCCGGCCAAAAATTTGGTGGTCAGTGGCCATCGGGACACTGTTAATTTTGAGCCCTGCCATAGCACACCCAAAGTACTGGATAACTTTGGGCCTAGTGTGCTATGGGTCTGGCATCCAGGCTAGTATGCTGTAACTTGTAAGGCATGTATAACCTTCCTTGACTTGTCACATATGGAGAACTGCCAGGCACTTATGGGTTTAGACTATTCTAGTATCTGAGCCTTAGGCACTGTCCTCTGCTACATTTAGAATAGGCTGATCACCATGTGATTATCAATCAACATTCCTTTTAACATATTCATCCATTATAGACATGTAAAGTCTTAGGCCACACCAATTTAATTTCTTGGTTAACGGATTCGCCCGCTTCGTTTTTTTCTGATTTGCAAATGAAAATAAAAATTCAGAATCAACTGCAAAATGCTCATATTTTGCCCTGAACAGTTGAAAACAGTCCTTTTCTTCATAGTTGTTACAGTTATTCCATCTTTCAATGCAATGGTATCATTAAAAGTTCAAAATTCATTGTTTAAATTTTGAACCAGTCTGCCTGGTGTGTTGACTTCATGGCTCCTATCGTACCATTTTGGACCATAATAGGATGCCTAGGCCTGTTTTTATTTTTATTACATTATCACCCAACTGCTCCATTATTTTTCTAGGAAAATCCGTTAACCAAGAAATTAAATTGGTGTGGCCTCAGTTGTAAAGCAGTTCAACTAGAAAGTGGTGTCATTTGGAAGTGTACCCGTTTCTGAGAAAGCTCCTTGGTTTGTATCCTTTATCTGTTGTTGCCAAGTGTATAATGATGTTTTTTTTTTAGTTTTTCATGATATATAGAAGGGCAAGATACTGACAGATAGTGCACACTTGCGTAGTTGTACTTGTAGTCATGTATTTTTTGACAGGCTGCCAAATGGCCATAGCTTTTTCTGCTAACATCTGTCAGTGCTTCATTAGAAACATATATCACCAGCTTGTATGGGCTTTTCAGTGGGCTTACATGTATTACTGAGTATTACTTGTACTACCACTGACTTATAAATGAATAGAGAGTTCTTAAAAACATTGTAGAGCTATAGTGTTGTTGAAACTACTAAGTAGCATACATGAAAGGAGGAATTCTTTTTTGGTCAAATTACGTATGGTCACAGGACCATGTAATTGCGTTGTAGCAAAACCTCCCTTGTATGTTTTGAACACGGTATACAGACAACATATAACTTATTATAAGGCTTGAGTGAGTAGGACTAAATCAGCCTAGACTGGTTCTACTACATAAATAAATGGGTCACGAGAAAATCACAGGTTTTCACCTAATAGAGCTGCTGACGCGACATCAATAATTTACGCCAGGTCATCTTCCTTTTCCTTTCCAGGTAATAAAAAAACATTCCCACGAGGTTTGCGGATTGACGTCAGCGTCGGACGTACACGTAAATCTCCTCCCGCTCTGCATCAGCTGGGTTTAGACGGGCTCACGAAGGCTTCCGCGTCACATAATTTTATTCCAGTCCGGTTGTCAAGACACTCTAGCTGAGAAGGAAGCCCGGGGACAGTAGTAACCAGATTTGTAGGCGGCGAGGGGAACGTCTGCAGGTTTTAATGGCCGATAAGGAGATCAGGTAAAGGTTTATTCGATGTTGTACCGTGTACGTTTGTTTTATTACCTTGTAGTGTGCATTATTTTTCAGGGCAGCAAATTTTACCAGGCTCCGTTTTCCAGACTGGTTGATTTTACTGACTGGTAATCGTTGGATCCGAGTTTTTCCAGACAAATAATTTACTAAAATGATAAATAAGATTTTGTTTATGCTCTCTTTCCACTAAAGACTGCAACCCCTGAACAGCCAAAGGTTTAAACAGATTTATAGAAAATTTTTTTGAAACTTTGTTTGATGTGTTATCTTTTAAATGTTAATCATAATTTTGAATTACGCATGAATTTTAGTCATGAAATCAATGTTGTCATCTAGTGAAAATAGGGCCCAAATTTTAACATTTGTATTTAGTTCCTGAGCTGGCTTTCAATGTAATGCTAACAGAAAGCAGACAGCAAATGTGAGGTGCAGTCCTTGTAGCATCAAGGTCTAATTCTGTCCATTCATACATACTGTAAATCACAATCAGTATTTTTAATATTTTCGCAGTCACTTCGGTACCACAAATTTATCACTACCGCAAAATAATTTGCCGACTTCCTTCTCCTGTACCTGCCATCACCACGAACATTTAGTTCTGCGAACATGACCATTTTCTCAGACCACGAAATTTGGCTACCGCAAAGTGATTTACAGTATTTGAGCTCTGACTGTGCGTGGACATGATTGAAGTTTTTATTTTTTCTCGTATTCCAGCTTGCCAGCCAAACTCATCAACGGAGCAGTAGCGGGGATTGTGGGAGTGTCCTGTGTTTTCCCTATTGATTTGGTCAAGACCAGACTACAGAACCAAGAAAGCAAAGATGGACAGAAGATGTATAAGAATATGTAAGTCAAGAATACAGTACTGTAGCTTGAAATTTGGTCTGTGTTGGTAGATATCATTCTGAAACAGGTTCCAACCCCCCAAAAATTGGACACTTCAACTCCAGCCTTTGAAAAGAATATAATTATGGTTTCTTTATAACCCTGCATCTCCAATTCGTGCATTGTTAATCTTTTCCTCACCTGTAATTTGTGTGGGGTGTAAATTGTGTAGCATGTTATTTGTAACAATTACAAATTTGGTTATAGAAAGGAAGGTTATCTTTAAGTGTTTTGTGTTTAAAATACCAGCGGGTGTATCAGAATAAGTAATACCTAGTGCTGTGTACCAGTTTGCTGGACCGGTTCCGGACTTGTAAAATGTTTATGTTCAAATCCAAAAAAAAAATAGAAGTCAAGAACAGATTCCAGACTTATTACAAAAAAAATGTCACATACCCCTTTTCTTTCCATAATCTGTGCTGCAAAATGAAAGAAACATTGCCATCGGGTATTTTCAAGTGTTGGCCTCCATGCTTGCCCATACAACATTGCAAGGTTGCCAACATGCAATTTTGTATATGCCATGGGTTTAGGTCTGGACTTATGAGTCCGGAACTAAACCTAAACCTCTGGACTTGAATCCAGACCTGAACCTAAACACAGCACTAGTAACACCTCATCTTTCCTTGCAATCTCTTTTCTGGAGCAATTTCACATGAATCTTTCTCTTTCCTAGGCGGGACTGTTTTGTCAAGACATTCCGGAAGGAGGGATTCCGTGGCATGTACAAAGGTATAGAACCACCTCTGTTCTTCCCACTCTCCTGAAGTTGTGGTGTGTATAAGTGTGGTTTTTGGATACGTCACCTTGTCAAACCATCAGCTTGTTTTGCAGTTTTTTGTTTCTGCGGAGTCAGGGGAAAGAGGCAGGACGCTTGGGGAATGTCAAAAAGGTACAGAAAGGTCACATGACCAAATGTGATGATGATGATCTTATCCGGAACGACCTCTGCCACGACCTTTGGCTTGTAATGTTCTAATCGCCTGTTTTTCAGGGAGTTCTGCATTAAATAAAAGGATGTTGCTATTTTTCATTGAAAATCCAAAAGGGGCAAATAGGTACAATTTTTAGGCCCTACCCACCTTCAGTTAGATTCTTAGTCGGATTCTTACTCCACATCCTTTCGTATCAAAAAAATTTCTTCGTCATATTTATGTTGCATCAAAACATGTTAACTATTAAATCATTGTTTTGGAGGAACAGAAATGTTTTGAAGACTGTTGTTGCAATGCTTGCATGTAAATTGTTTGCTTCAAATTGCACTGTTGTAATTTATGATAATTACGCTGTTGACAAAAAAAAAAAAAGATTGCTGCATTTTTTCTTGCGTCAGTGTCCTTGCCTCTTTCCCCTGTCTTACGCAAAAGAATGGCATAGAGTCTATGCATACATGTATATACATGTAACAAGGTGGTAACTTACACCAGTATTACCAACAGATTGTCTGTGTTGTACCATTCTATCATTAGTGCACTATGGAAGAACCTCATTTATTTAAACCTTAAAGCATTTCTGGGATGTCAGGAATTCTAAAATTTGACAACAGTAAGATTATTCAAACATTGTAAAGAAACGCTTCTGTTTCTGTACTAAAATAGAAACCGTTATGTGTAATTAGTGTGTTCTTTCACTTTCAGTTCTATTGTTGAATGGCACAACACTGCACAGCATATACATTTATTATTTATAGTTATGAAACAATTGTGCACAGTGGGTACAGGGATAGACAGGATTTGTAAACAGACTATCATAGCCTTAAAAATGTACTGTATTTTCACAGAAATAATAAAGAACTGTGTAGAACATGGGCCATCTTTCATGGTGCAAGAACTTAATATTCGAAAAGATATGATAAATTTTTTTTAGAATTTAATGCAATTTTCCAGGATTCTTTCAAATGTATTCTGAAGAGAAAAACAAGTTTTGTGGAAGATGAAAAAATTTTGTAGAAAACATTGGTCATCTTTCGTGGTGCAAGCTTCAAGGGAAAAAAGTTTAGATGCTTTTTGGAAATTTAAATCTCTCAGAACACTCTCAAATGTATTGTAAAGAAATGTTTTGAAATATAGAAATGTTATCCTCTGTATCCACTGTATTAAGCTTGACCACTCTGTAAATAATGTAAAGTAGAGAATGTCTGTTTTTGTTGCAACCCTATGTTTTACACCTTGCAGAGGCGAATTTTGCGGAGGGACATTGAGTCTCCCGCCGCGCTGGTTCGATCATCGGCAGACGGCGAAGTTTTTGACACAGTAACGTTTTCCTCCATCTGTACTGAACTGTGCATTGAATCTCCCACATGCACATAGCTTTTACCTTGTGGCCGTTTTGAATGGTTGTTTCCTTTACCAGTGTATGTATGTATGGATGTGTAGACATGTGTTAAGCCTCCTGTGTTTCTTTTCTCTCTTTAGCCAACTGCTAACACATCATTCACAAATGCTGGCCCTGCTAAATTCTTTGCTAATGCTTTGCGTGCCACAGAATTATTTGTTCATCAAAATCTATTTGAGAAGGCTGAAAAAGAAAAACAAACTTACCAAAGAGTTACTGTTCTAGAAAATGTTCATTTTGTGTTATATTCCATTTTTGCAAATTTGACATGGGAAGAAAAGTGCTGGCAGGAGCAAAAGATTTTTTTTTCATTTGATACCGGGATAGTTCATGATTTTGCTTTTGCAAAATTTTAGTTGTATAAATTGCTGGCATTAGCAAATGATGTATTTTTTTTTTCAAATAACTGGTCACCATGTAAAGGCTACTAAAACCAAAGCTTCTCTTCTTTTATATTGAAAATATTGGTACTTATAAAGTTGTTACCTTACCAAAGTTTTGTTAGCTTGGCACAATCTACGTTTCGCAGTTTATTTTGCCAGCCTGGAAGGAGCATTTTAGTAATAAAAAAAGAAGTCTTTTCAGTTATGAGCCCTTAAAGCTAAGTGTATGATTGTGACCTGTGCTATAATACCATCTCATTTTCCTTCACCTGTCCCATCCCTTATGTCTGTCCTTCTACTCTCAAAGCTCCATCTTAAATATTTTCTGATATTTTCACCATGCCAAGTATTTCTCCTCTTATTTTAGACGACCATGTGCCTGTACAGGTACACCATATAGTAGAGGTAGTTGCCATGTTATAAAGGTGATACTAGTAGGTGGTTAGTTGCTATTACAAAAAGCAAATTGCTACTTCTCTGTGCAACTTACCAAACTGCAAAAAAATATATTTTGATTTCTTTTATCATATTGGTTTGTTATAAGTTCTTTTTCCAATTTAAAACCTTTATTTTACACCTTTCTGTAGTGCATGAAAATTTAAACAAGGCATGACAAAAGTTCAAAGAGATTTTAGTATTTGACTACTTTTCAAAAAGTTGTATATTTGGAGACCACATTTTTTCCTGTAGACACTAAGCTGTATTTGTTGGTATGTTTGTGGTTGTTTAACCCTCCCACTGCTGCCGGTGATGCTGACAGTTGTTGTGCCATGTCGTTGCAGGGTCGGGGGTTAATCTGGTGCTGATCACGCCGGAGAAAGCCATCAAACTCACTGCCAATGATACCTTCAGGTTCTACCTGCGAACAGACAAGTACGGAAACTTTTTATCCTACGGCCACCACAATTTAATTTGTTGTTTCTCAGATTTTTTCAGAAAAAATATGAAGCAACAGGGTGAAATAAAATAAAAAAACAGGCCAAGGCACCCCATGAAGGCCGGAAATGTTATGATATGACCCATAAAATGAACATACCAGGCTGGTTTATAATTAAAACAATAGATTTTGAACTTTTCATTGAGCATTTTGCAGTTGATTTAGAACAATTTTTTTTTTTTTCAAATCAGAAAAAAATGGACAGGGCGAATCCGAGAAACAACAAATTAAATTGGTGTGGCCTACTGTACATCTTGACATTTTCACAATAGTTTTATTTTCATAGTTTTTATAGAAACCTTTCTACAGGAAATTCATGACACCACAAATATGCATTACTACTGTACTACAGAATTATATCAACTTGACAAACTAGATCCCTATGAAAATAAATGAATGTACAGTAAGTTTTGTTGTCCATATATACATTATAATTTCTAGCACATATATGATATACTCACGTTTTATTGTAAAATTGAGCAGCTTAGTCTGCTGTCTCTGAGTACCTTGTTGCTTCCACGTACTGCAAAGTATTGTTTTTGCTGACTGAGCCATGGGTTTGTATGTCTGTGGATGACAGAATAGGTTGACAGTACATGCACATGGGTGGGGAAGACTGACAGGATCTCAAAAAGTCAAACTCTAGAAAATGGAGTAAACTTGAACTAAAAAAAAAACCTAAGTAGTGTCAATCAGAAGTCTGAAATCTGTACTTTTGGTGTGTTTTTTTCACAGTTGCCTTTGCTGTGTCGACCAAAAGTATCAAAACTTCATTATGGAATTTACCACCACAGATGAGCTTTCATGCTAATGACATTGTGATTTGTTGTTTTGCCCTGCAGAGGCCAGCTCCCGCTGTACCGGGAGATGTTGGCAGGGGGCGGTGCTGGACTGTGTCAGATGATCATCACCTCCCCCATGGAGATGCTCAAAATCACGCTGCAGGATGCCGGCAGAATAAGTATGTTGTTCCTTCCTTTTTACTTTCTTAGCCTTTTTGCTAACCTCTGAAATTTCCTGAAACACCAATCATTTAAAATTTGGAAAGACACTGGGGATTTTGAAAATGTTATCAACTTGAAGCCTTGTATTTTGGGTTGTTCAAAGTCTGTACTTTTGACCACCTCTGCATACAGTCCAACCAAAAAATTCAAGGGACCAGCAAAAAGTGACCACTATGGCCAGGTGACCACTCATAATGCAGAGGTGACTGCTAGTACAAGTTCGACTGTATAGGGACAACAATTTTCTTTAATGACCTTGATCATGAGTGGTCACCTGGTTTATAACTGTACTTGTACAGGGTCGTTTGAAAAAGTATTCTTTGTTCTATTTTATATTACGGTAGCAACTATCTTAAGATAGTTAACTTTAAGATGTCTTTCCAAGTTTAAATGACTGGTGTTTCTCTGAATGTCTTTACTCAGAATTTTCTCTTCATTGTTCTGAGACTTTAAGATAACATAACTGCAACACAGTGTTAACACTGACTAGTAATATGTGAAGTTGTGTTCTGTCCTGTTATTGCTGCTGGGAATGTGAAATTGTGGGTAAGAATAACAATTCCCACCTTACGCATGTAATTCTGCATGTGTCGGGCTAAAACGATTGCCTAGCACTTGTGGGTGTAACTGTATTTTGTAGAGCAAGACATAGACATTAGAGTAGAAATATACCTGGCATTGCATGTGGCCAGTTTGGCATGATCTTTGAAACTGCAAAATTCTTTTGGACTGAAATCCGTCTCTCTAACATTCTGTTCTAATTCTGAGGTGTGAACCTTCCACTCTTTTCAAGCTGCTTTCAAGAACTTCTTGAATGTTTTTCATTCACCACCAAAAGCATGAAAAGTGTTAACTTGTATTTTTGCAACCTATTTGTGAAGTGTTTTGTGGTGCACAATATTGCATGAATGCACACTGCACTGTTGAGAAAATAAAGTGCACTTTCCAAACCTTCCTCACAGTGTAATCTCTAAATTTACATCTTAAAACGTGTTTGGTTACCCACTCTATTGTTTTTTGCAACCCATTTGTAAAGTGTTTTGTGCATGTGGTGCACAGTATTGCATGATTGTGCACAAAAGTGCACCCTCTAAACCTTCCTCACCACAGTCCTATCTCTAAATTTACATCTCAAAACGTGTCTTCCAGAAACGCCACATGCAGTGTGTTAGTTTTAAGACGTAATCTGCCCTCTTACAGGTACGACAGGTCAAGGTCCTCAATTGTCTTCTGCAGGGGGAATCTCCGCGGCGCCCAGCCGTGCCTTTAGCGCCGTTGCCATGGCGGCCACGCCCCAGCGGATGTCGGCACTGAGAATAGCGTACGACCTGTTCAGGACCAAAGGTTTATCCGGGGTGTACAGAGGAGCAGGGGCCACACTTCTCAGGTAAACTTCTGTTTGTGGGACATTTGGAAGGATCAGCATGAAAAAAACTCTTTGAAGTAAGGGACTCTTTGAGAAGTCAAAATACTGTGTTTCAGTTTTTGTCCACTGGTATTCTTCTATTCTTTCGTCCAAAATGTATTCTTTTAGCTTGCCAAATTACAAGTTGCTAATAGTTATGAAGTGGAAATACCCCGGCTTTTCAAAGATAGACAGTCATAACTACAAACATGATGTGCAAAAAAGCAGTCACTCAAGCAACTGGATATGATTTTGGAAACGGCCAGACATTTCAGGTAGCATCCGCTACCTTCCATCAGTGACACCTTCAGCAACATTTCAAACATGGTGCTCTGGAAATTCAGAAAATATTCTCCAAATTGACAGAGGCTACCTTGGATACAGAAAAGGGACAATTTTGTACACAATAAATACAACTGTTTATTTTTATGTCTCAGATAAGCTTGTGCTGTTTTTGACTGTGGATTTTCCCTCCCCGTACAGAGACATTCCATTCTCCATGATCTACTTTCCACTGTTCGCCCACCTCAACCACCTGGGGAAGCCAGAGGGGGCGGCCACCTCACCCTTCTACTGGTCATTCTCCTCTGGCTGTGTGGCCGGGTGTATGGCCTCCGTACTGGTCAACCCGATGGACGGTCAGTAACAGTTTATGTGCTTCTGAAAGTTCAAAGTACAGTCAAACCTGTATCAGTAACTACCTATGCATAAGGATCACCTGGCCATTGGTACATAGTCAAACTTGTGGCCATATCTGTGTAAGGAGCACTTGGCTATTGGTTTACAGTTAAATTTGTACTAGTGACCTGTTTATAAGGACCACCTGGCATTTGGTACATGGCCAAACTTGTATTACATGAAGTGAACACTTCTACAAAAGGACCACCTGGTCACTGGTACAGTCAAACTTGTATCAGTTACCATCTCTGTATAATAATCTTCTTGTATTGAGCCACTTTTTGGTGTCCCCTAGGTTACTGACAGTATTTTCTCATGGCCTCGAAGCATTACAAAACTTGTTTGTGGTAGTCACTTCTCTATACCATTCTCTCGAATGATCACTTTTTATGACAGGTTTTATTCTACATAACTTCTCATAAGTATAGTTTTGAGAAGAACAGATTTTTGATCACTAGATCAGAAAACTAATTTTAAATCTCTGATTTTCCCCCACCTTTAATTGTGAAGACGAGAATCCAAGATTTGACTGTACATTTATAGTAATGCAAGTTTTATTCTACACAGGAAGGCTGAATTTTTTATTGCTACATAAGACTATTAAGAGAACTAATTTGAAATATCTGATATTTCCCCACTTTTAGTTGTGAAGACAAGAATCCAGGTCCTGAAGAGAGCTCAGGGTGAGCAAACCTACAACGGCGTCGTGGACTGTGCCAAGAAAATCTGGGTGGCGGAGGGACCGTCCGCGTTCATGAAGGGAGCGTGGTGCCGCGTTCTCGTGATTGCGCCGCTCTTCGGTATCGCTCAGATGGTGTACTACTTCGGAGTGGGCGAATATATTCTGGGTATCGATAGTCAGTACTACTAGTATGTACAGTATGTACAAATGAATTATAGTGGTACATGGATATTTCTGTGTATGGGAAATTCACATTGGTGGCACCATGAACATATAGGTTGATGTGTAACCGACTAATTGAAGGAATATGATGTTGTTCTCACTGAAGTGACTTCTGAACATAGGTGGAAAAAAATGGAAAAAATTCTATATATGTAATATGTCTGTAGACGAAGAAATATATATATTCTGTACATAACAAGTATTGTGGGTAAAAAAAAGTTGTTATTAACACATGGTCATCACATTTTGTTGCAGTAGATAAGATGACAAGGTGAATCAGTTAAGTTGTCAAATGCTCAGAATTGTGAAGTTATGATTTGATGGTGGATTATATTTATTTCAAAACAATATTGAAGGATTTTGTGAACATTTGTTTTTCTTCTTGCTTTTTTGGAAAAGGAGCTTTTTCTTTAGTAGAAGTTATATTTGTGCCAAGACAAAAATTCTAGCAAACAGGGTACTTCCTTCTTACAAAAGACACAGAAACTACTTTTCCAAAAAAGAAAATATTTTTAGATTGAAAGACGTACCACAGTAGATTGCTCTTTCACTGCCCTCCTCACAGTATCCATTATAAATTATTTAAGTGAATTGTACATTTTCGTAATGTATCGTCAAATTGTACCACCATTAAGTGCTTTCATAATCGGCATATCTGCAATTCTATTTACAGGCACATTGCAAAAGATAGAGAGAATTCCATGGCCTCATTTGGTGCTTGTTAAGCAAATGTGTTTGTGAAAATATTGATGTACCATTGACCAAATTAGATGTTATATATCATGTATACTATAATACCAGATGCACTACGCAGGGTAGTTTGAAGTTAAGTGTTGAAAAGTGGCCTGAGTAATTGTAACTTCTAAGGCCACACCAATTTAATTTTTTGGTTAACGGATTTTTCTAGAAAAATAATGGAGCGGGCGGGCGAAAAAAATGAAAAAATAAAAAGGCCTAGGCATCCTATTATGGTCCAAAATGGTACGATAGGAGCCATGAAGTCAACACACCAGGCTGGTTCAAAATTTAAACAATGAATTTTGAACTTTTAATGACACCATTGCATTGGAAGATGGAATAACTGTAACAACTAGGATGAAAAGGACTGTTTTCAACTGTTCAGGGCAAAATATGAGCATTTTACAGTTGATTCTGAATTTTTATTTTTATTTGCAAATCAGAAAAAAAAATGAAGGGGGCGAATCCGTTAACCAAGAAATTAAATTGGTGTGGCCTAAGGTCAGGTTGTTGTGATTTTACCAGAGTTCCACCGATCCTATGTCCTGATTTTTCGCTGCTGGAAAATTGAGCAATGAAACATCCATTTTACACCGGTGATGTTCCCTTGAATATTAAGAGGTATGAGGTGCAAAAGAACAGGCAAGGCAGCTGAGTTTTGGACCAAAAAGTGTGAAAATTCCCCAGCAAAACAACAACACACTAGATACGCCTGGCAAATTTCATTTGAGGAATAATATTTCTCTTACAACGTACCGAAATTCCCCCAATCGCGGTGGAGTCAAATCTTCGGAGGATGTGTCCTTCAGAATCAAGACTGTGTCTTTGCCATGTTATTGTCATAGATATTGTATTGTGGAATAATTTCACAGATTTTGCCACTTTGTGAGAACATAATTGTTTGTGAGAACATAATTGTAACATCGTTGAAAAGATTCATTCATAATTGTAACAGTAATTTACTGGTATGTTGCCTAATATAAGCCATTGAACATTCAGCCTGACATAGAAAGAAAATGTAAAGTAGTACATTGACAATGAGCATAGTGTATTGTTAGTGTTTCAAGCTAATGCTTCTTAGTGTTTCAAGCTCTGTGTGTTAAACTAATTTAAAAAGAGTATGGGTATATCCAGAGTTGTTGCCATAAATACATTTGTATGACGGCTTGATATTGTGCCCTAGGTTTATGCATATCATGCATACAGTGTGCCCTTAATGATACTTGTACGTACAGGTGTACTTGTAGTTTTTCTTCTCAAACTATATCAGCGCTCACAGATGAGATGAGATACTAACTGTTGCTCTGCAAAGTATCAAGTTTAGTTGTGTAGAACTTCTCATGTCACTAGAAAATTCTGAGAATGCATGAAAAGTTGAAATAAACTTCTGTCCATAGAAGAAGTGCTTGAAAGTACGAAAGGAAGCGGCATGATTGTTGCTCTGTTTCCAAATGATCCAATGTGGTACTTGAGCAATACACAGACTTGTAGTAAGAAATGAATGATTTCTTAAATCATAGATCACTGCCGACTATTCTCGAACAGATCCACATTTGAGAGGACTTTTCGTTTTTGTAGTCTTTAGGATTGAGAAATGAAAGACTAGTGTTCAATTGGATGATGGTTGTGTTGTAATAAAATCTTGTAAAAATGGATGGAAATCAGTCTTGGTGTGAGTCATTTCATGTAGCAAGTATTCAGTTGGAGTTATCATAGATCTATTTCGATTTGTTTTCCTTACGAAGATATTCAAACAGTTTTCTGAAACAATAGGTGTAATATATAACTTAATATATTTCTTTTAACACTGTGTTATTTGTAAAGAAATGTCCCCAAAAAAGTTAATGACTACTATGAATGACAATGGTAAAAAAAAGCTTTTAAGATACCTTAGAAATCAAAGACACAAGGGTACACAGTCAAAAGTGACTGACTTTCATAAAAGACCTCGATTTTCCTCAGTTTTCGAAGGCCCATATGTCACACCATCTACTGAAACTGCACAAAGCTAAAATGGCAGAAATATTGACAAAAAAGCTCCATATTCAGCCACCCGTATAAGCCGTTCTAGTAATGTTTGCCTCAAAATTAAATGATATAAAGCTAAAATGGTTCTTTCCCGATAAATCAGTGATACTTAGGTAGTCAGGATGAGCCCCAAGGTCAAGAACAAGAGCAAGAAAGACCTGGACTAAAACCCCCATAAGAGCCCATCGCGTTTCCCCACTCGCGAAATGGCCAAATCTGGGAATGAGCGAGGCTTCGTTAGTGAGATACGCGCCTTTTCGGAACGGGGGCCTGAAAACGGGGGTGTGATAGGGGATGAATATCCGCTTTGTTCATTTTAGAAAAATCAAACTTTTGCCATTTTTCGGCCCCCTTCTTTACAGAATATACTCCTTACGATCTCTATTAAATACTTCGTTAATATCTTCTCCCGAACTACCTCCATTCCTGAGTTACACGCAAAAATGCGTTTTTGCGATCAGCTGATCGCTTGCAGAACGTGCTCTCAGCCTTGCAGAAGCCAACTTTTCGCCGTCGGATACATTACCATATGAATGAAAACCAAGCAGATGTCAGCTAGTGGGGCATATTGTGACTTACTCTTAAAGGGATTGCTACAGTCTACGCTGAAATAATAAATAAATACACTCACGTCGGAAGCAAACTGACGGACAACGATGGTATTGTGATATTCTATGTGGCATAAACTTGTCAGTATTTATATTAAAGTCTGATGGAATGTGAGTACATGTCATATGTATATGTATACAAGGTTACCATAGTGTTACACTGTAGCTGATTTCACGCGTTTAAAAAACTTGTAAGCGGTACTGGCAAGCCCAGAACCTCTTGCCAACTTCAGGCGGCCATACAGTTCCCTCCACGGATACAACTCGAGACCCTCCTTGAAAAGAAATCGCCTCTCTACCCCTAGAAACAAGCGTTGTCCCGCTAGAAGTCTGTGCAGGACTGCCAGGAAATTAGGACTTTGCAGACGGTCTCACAGCGACACCTAGCAGCTCATATCAAAACGCAGTACGAGACCAGTCGTCTGGTAAATGCATGGTGGTAAGTACAATGGTGAGGCAACGCCCACCCTGGTAAATGCTGGTTGGTTGAAAACATTATGACGTGATGAGACGGCCATGTTGGCGGGAAGCGACGAGTGGGGCGACGAAAATTAGGTACAAAACCGTGTATTAAAGTCACTCTATGTAGTTTTTTGACAATACAAAAAGTATATTTTTTATTCTTTTCTTTACATAGTACATTGGCTTAACCCATTAGTATTCCAAAATTATACTCCACAGCAAAAATACAACATCCTTGCTCCTTAGAAGCTTAGAAAACTGTGAATGATCTTCTATTCAACCTCTGGCCAAACCACACATATGGTATTGTCCACTCCCAGTGGTTTGACCTACATCCCAGTGGGGTGTCAGTTGATAGCTTACCAGTTTCTGAAATACCTAATCGTTTACCAGATTTTTTATCTCTTTTGAAGGGATAATGACCACAGTTTATTCATGCCCAACAAAATACTCTAAGTTGATAATTATATTCCACCACATGTGAAAGATATGAGTTTTTTCTAAGGAGGGTATATCTTGTGACATCTGCCCCTGTCTATCAAGCCTGGCATGCCCGGGCCAATTAGCCACCCCAGGGGGCAACCCCTGTATGTTGTTGTTGTTGTTGTCCTTAGCAAACCGGTGGCACCGGGAACTGAAGAAGGACTGTTTGAACGGACAAAATATACGAAAAAAATGTGAAATAATGACACAAATGTGTTGAAAAGTGATAGTAACTGCTAATAACACCGAAATTCAGTATAATTAGAATATTTCAATTTTTTGCGCAAAAAACTACATACAGTGCCTTTAAATCGTGACTTGTAACGCTAACAAGTTCCAACTGCACAAGAAAGGTTCAAGACATAATATTCAATGTGTATCAGGACAAAGACACTGCATACTAACTGTCTATGTACATTTTATTACTTGGAATGTAGGCCGTCTTTGACTGCAAGATGCTTTGCAATTTACCTGCAGTATTGATATGAACTGCTAGAGGTCGCTGTGAGACCGTCCGCAGAGGCCCGGTTTCAAGTTTCATAGTTGTGATACTACTATCCGCCACTGGAGGGCGCTTTTTTGACACCGTAAGACTGTCGTGTGTGATGATAGGCATAGGGATAGGGATTTGTAATACCCGGAGTGACTCACTGAGTTCATAACATAAGATTTTGTAGTAAATACATGGAGAATCGTCAGGGTGATACGGCTTGGATCTCGCGACAAGTTCTGAGCCTGGCTTTACAATTACGTGTGGGCGGGGCATTGCCTAACACTGTATCATAAATTGGTACGCACTCACACTACATTAGACCCAGGACATTTTACATAATACCTGGTGACCAGTTTATGCCACATAAAATATAAGATTACATCATCATTATCCGCCATTTTGCTTCCATTGAAAATACGTGTATTGTAGCGTAGACTGTTGAGAAATTAATGATATTCCCTCCTGACATCTGCTTGGTTTTCATTCATATGGTAATGTTTCTGACAGCTAAAAGTTGGCTTCTGCAAGGCTGAGAGCACGTTCTGCAAGCGATCAGCTGATCGCAAAAACGAATTTTTACGTATAACTCGAGAACGGAGAAAATTCGGGAGAAGATATTAAGCAAGTATATAATTGAGACCATAAGGACTATACTCTGAAAAGAAAGGCTCCGAAAAATGCCAAAAGTTTGATTTTTCTAAAATGAAAAAAGCGGATATTCATCCCTTATCACACCCCCGTTTTCGAGCCCCCGTTCCGAAAAGGTCCGTATCTCGCAAAGGAAGCCTCGCTCATTCCCAGATTTGGCCATTTCGCGACTTGGGAAACGAGATGGGCTCTTATGGGGGTTTTACTCCAAGTCTTTCTTGCTCTTGTTCTTGACCTTGGGGCTAGCACAGACTACCAAAATATCACTAATTTATCAGGAAAGAACCATTTTAGTCTTATATCTTTTCATTTTGAGACAAAAATTCCTAGAACGGCTCATACAAGCGGCTGAATATGGACCTTTTTTTTGCCAATATTTCTGCCATTTCCATGGGTTGCCCAGTTTCAAAAGATGGCATACGCTTTTTTTTTTCTTTTAAAAGATGAGGAAAAACAATGCCAATCATTTAAATAAGTCAGTGTTGACTTGGGTATTGCCTGTGTTTTTGATTTCTAAGGCATCTTGAAAGTTTTCAAGTTGAAATTGTCTTCGTGGTAGTGGTCAATATTTCTAAAATCACAAATGAAAACCTTGTATAACTTTCTGCATTTCTTGTCACATTAAAAGTGAGTTTTTTCATTTGTGGTTTGCTTGATGTTAAAACAAAAATCCAGCCTTGATAAATGTCTTCATCCACATATTTATTCTGAGACACAGCAGAAAAAACACATTACTGTAACATCACGAACCGAAAACACAGGACTGGAACTGGAATGCTTTGTTTGCCATCTACAGTCACAGAGACAAGATGATGCTCAACTCCTGGGGATCAAGAGGAAAATATCTAGAGATTTCTAGTGTTACACTGAAGGGTTGTTACACTGGGTATACAGAAATAGATTCACAAAGTAAGACTGTAGTCAAGGCAAAGAACAGAAGTCTGAAGGTAATACTGTAGCAAGAAAATAATATCCTTGGTAATAATCTTGGGTCAATCTGAAACATTTCCATAATTCCATCCTTTCTTGCAAAGATGTTTCATCATACAAGCACATTACAAAAATTACTGACAGTAACGAAATACTGTATTGAATAATTCTGGGATGTAAAAGACAATCTTGCAGTAAGTCCACATTCTACAGTAACTATCCTTACTGAATTTGCTACGTGTGCTAAGGGAGAGGCTAAAACATCCTGAGTTACAGTACAGCAACTACATGTACATGGTAAATCAGTATTTTAAAGGCAACACTGTCTGCTTCTTTGTAAACCATTCCTTGGGTATCGCTAATACCAACAGCAGAGGTAGGTGACCGTAAGTGTAAGTACATGAAGTACTAGTATTGTTCGAAGCTACCTTACTTATCTTTTTGACAAAGCCTTAATTGCAGGGGACACAGTATTTTTCCTAATAAACATCATTTCACCATTCTTTACCCCCATGTCTTAGCAATTGTACCAGGAAGTGATTTTCTGAAGTGCAAGTCTAGAGGACCTCTTTCATCAAACTGAGAAAGAATTCGTCGATGAAGGTTAGACATCCAGGTAATACGATATGCCAAAAAACAGTTACTCAAGCAACTGGATATGATTTTGAAAACGTCAGACGTTTCAGCTAGTATCCACTAGCTTTCGTCAGTGACTGAGAGACCAGAGGGGAAAGCAGGTTTATATACACAACCTGTTGATTGATATGCAAATAAAGTGAAGACAAATTTTTGGAAGTCGAAAAAGGAACAAAAGTCAGACAAGTCAAGACAAGATGATGCAAACAACACTTAAGCTCCTGTCCTGTATAACAGGAGCTTTCAGACTAATTTGCATCATCTTGTCTTGACTTGTCTGACTTTTGTTCCTTTTTCGACTTCCAAAAATTTGTCTTCACTTTATTTGCATATCAATCAACAGGTTGTGTATATAAACCTGCTTTCCCCTCTGGTCTCTCAGTCACTGACGAAAGCTAGTGGATACTAGCTGAAACGTCTGACGTTTTCAAAATCATATCCAGTTGCTTGAGTAACTGTTTTTTGGCATGAGAAAGAATTCCTTGATTCTAAAAATGAAGTCACCCATCAGAGGACAGCAGATAAATATTTTTTGAGACAAGAATTTTCCCCAACAGTCTACAAACGTCACAGTAAGACTTCAGCAACTGAAGTTGAATATTTTCAATATTTTCCCCTATCAACATACAATATCTGCTGTCTGCTCTTGACTACTACAATGTGCACAGAGGCAAAATTACTTGTGACATTACGTGATAATGATTTCTTCTTGAGCCCTCTAATCTCATCGTACTATACTAGACATTTACATAGACTGTCTTGACTTTCCAACAATATAACCTACCTTAGCTTATATATAATTATGCTTCACATTTATCCATTGCTAGACAAACTTTGTAAAACACATTGTAGAATACTTTAGTCACTAACAAATGCTGCTACAAGTAAGATGTTTATATTCAATTTTTGGAAGCCGTCATATTTCTAGGGGAATCTTAATTTTTCATCAACAACTTGTTCAAATAAAAAATTATATGTAGTAGATGGCAGAAATTTTTAATCACATTGTAGATTACAATATTTTTCAAAGGCTTCCAATCTTTCAAACTCAACAATTCAGCTCTATTATTAAATAACAATCTGTCCACAATACATAATGACCATCCCTATTCTGGTTGGTATGACCCGACCAACACACATAGAACTTGTCAGAAAAGGACCATTCCAATAAGTAAACAGGGGTGTTGATGAAATATCTCAGTATTGCACAGCTGGAAGAGACTGTCAGCAGGAACAGATGACTCCTTACTTCCTAGTCCATGAACTTTCTGTTGGGGTTGGACCCGAATAACGTTGTCCGGATTTCTGGCATCATCTGGAGAAGTTATGAAAACAACAACAACAAAAAATTATTAGAGCTGCTAGTAATGTAAAGAGTAAAGACCAAAATTTCAGTAGTGTACGTAGTCCAGTGGTTAGTGACCCTGTCTCTTGACCAAGAAGTTGGGAGTTTGAATCCCGAATTTGTTGCTCACCCAACATGCATGCTACTGGAAAGGGTAACAGTTCTTACGGCGGGACATTAAGCTGTGTTCCACTATTTATTGAGCTAGGGGAAATTCAACAGTACAAAGAGTACAAAGAGTACAAACTGTACATAGCATTTGTTTTCTCTGTCATGACCAGTGCTCTTCAGTGAACTGAAACTTGTTTGAAATCATTTCCTTTCTTTCCTTTTTTTTCTGTGCATTACAATTGTGCAGCCTTATTACAGTCAAGCCAGTCTATAAACAAACAAACAAATAAACAAACAAACCTGTGTGCTCATCATCTCCAGCCGACTCTCCAGTGTGTTGGTGACCTTGATTCTGTTGTTAGGAGACAGAAACTCTATACCTCCAGACCTGAGGGAAAGGAAAAAAACATCACAACCCTTCACCACCACATTTTAATGTGAAGTTTTATTTATTCGTGACACCAAAAATAAGCAGGGATAAAATTGCTGGATTGCGAAAAGTTTGCGTACACAAATTACATATGTGTCCAAACAATTAGACCAGTTTCCTGGTTTCCTATATTTTGTAGTCTTCTCGTAATAGATGTAACTTAAAATGAACACCTATTACATTATATTCATGCTAAAGCAGTGAACTATAGAACTACGTAATCACAGAAAGATTTATCTTCCCTGTACCAGGCAAAATCACTTTACAATCTGACTCTTCAAATAGGATTTCAGTTTTATTCAAATGTACAAATACATGTAGCTATCAAGGTGTAAGTTTGAATTATAGACATAGATATTTTCACACTAAAAGTTCTTCTAAAAAGTTTGCCCAATGGCAACAAACACAGGAGAAATACTCACACATCAGATCCCAGGAAGTTCTGTTCATCTACGGTGATTTTACAGTCCTTTTTAGTCAGCTGCTTGTAGGTAGTGATCACCTGTGGTGTCAAGTCCTGGGGAGGAACAAAGGAAAGAGAACATTTTAGGAACATTTCTTAGTTTTTTACTGTCAGTTTACTCAGTTACAATTTGAATAGAGTCAAATGGGGTTAAGGTGAAGAAAGGGAGTAGAGGTACATCAGCTAAAAGCATCTAAAAGCACCACTTAAAATCTTCTATAGTATTACATGTAACCATTTCTGAGTTAGGAACATGAAAATGTAAAATGGAGAAAATGGAAAATGGAAAGGAAGAATGAAGGAGGAAAAACCAATAGGAAAACCACAGGATATACCTAGTAACCATAGTAACTTTGACAGAAGTAAAAAAACAATTTAGCAGAAGATGAAGAAGGGAAAGAGGTAGATGACAAGTAACTGCATGACACTCAACGAGTTTGAAACAAAGAAAAAGAAAACAATGCAAGGAGAGAATGAGGGAGGGAGGAAGAAAGACTGATATGAAACTAAAGAAAACAACATGCTAGTAAAATGCTGAACTTTATTCCAACACAAGGGTTACACAGACATCAAATTTTACTATCTTTCACGATAAAAAAAATTAAAATGACATGCCGCTGACCTTGACGAGTTTGACGTCCACCTGTCGACATCTGAGTGTGACGGCCGGCTCCAGCAGCTGACACAGACTCTGCACCATCAGACCCTCCATCACCTGCCGGTACTTCACCGGGTTCTTGGTGACCTCGCCCAGCCTCTGCCGACACTCCTCCAGGATACTCTGCTGGGGGAAACGGACAGCAACACAGGCACCAAAATTACACCGGGGTTTGGACGATATATTGTAACCAGATAATGACTGCCTGACACTCAAACTTTAGTCAAAGACAACCCATACCAGGATGTTGTCAGAGTACATAAGAAAAAGCTTTCATTTCTGAAATTGTTTCCCTAATACTACTGCACACACTGTACTTTTTCTCTTTCCCCTCAACATCCAAGCAGCACTACAGAACATGGTTTGGACATGTGTTGGACATATAAGTAACAAATCAATCAATGCCTAGCCCAGTAGGTCTAGGCTAGGATGGAAAAAATTCTTCATTCCATCTGCTTTTCAGAACAAAATCAAAAAACTTCATGACATTTTCATTAGGCTACAGGCAAGCCAACCCACATGTCATTTGAAATCTGCCCCCAAAAATGGGTGAACGACAGCTAGGGACAAGGAGTACAAAATTGTCTGGAGGAGCATGCCCACATCTACAAGAAATGTTAAACTAACACCTATGAACCAACCAACCTTTATATGATCTTCTCTGGCCTGAAGAACCTTCATTCTGGCCTGGTTCAACAAGTTGGAGTTTTGGCTGAAAGGAAAAAAAATTCAGACTGTCAGTGTCAACTTCTACAAAGGAAAGCCTGACATGTGCCTAAAAGACTGACATGTGTTTGGATCGATTTTATACTGAATCATAGTTGCTACTACTCTCATACAAATGCAAATACTTTATAATCTTTAAACCAGATTTATGGACAGGTCAATGTTGGCTACCTATAACCACCAAAGAAGAACCTTATCATATTGTGCTGCAGTGTGCACAATACACTGCACATGCATCTTCTGGCTTCTACTGCAAACAATAGTGATGATACATGTAGTGAAAACTGACCCTAACCCCCCAGCCAGACCCAGAATAAAATTAGGATACTTTCTAAAAAATATGAAATCACTAGAACTTAGTAGAAGTGCTATTCTAAGTCTTACATCTTCTTCTGCTGCTCAACTTGCTTCTCCTTCTTCTCATAGAACTCCATGATCTTGACGCGCTGCATCTGGACCAGACGACCCTTCTCAATGTTAAACTCCTCCTCAGCCTGGGGAAAAGGGAACCGGTTTCAACAGTGCCAACGTTTCATCCCTCAAGTGTCATATCACAGAGCTCATCAGCTCAAAAAAATTATGTTCCTTGCAGGGATCCACATAAAAATGGCTAGCTTCAGAGGTTTTTTCTAAGGTTGGTCAGGAAACAGGAAACACAACATTTTTTCCTAGGCCTTATCAAATGGCTCAAGACCTCTTCTTATTCGATCCAATTGACTTTGATATAAATAGATATACTTTTTAACATGAGTACCATCTTTGTGTCTTACCTTTGCATCTATCTCCTCGGCTTTTTCATTGGCCTCCTGCTCAATGAAGGCCATCATGTGTTTGATCTGAAATATCCAACAAAAACCAATTCAGCAAAATTGTGCGACATGATCTATGTATTACATAATTTCTATATCTACATGTTCATAACTAGGTATAATTTCCGTCATCTTGAAATTATGGAATAAATATCGGGCTGTTCCAAAAAATAACTGAGGATGCTTCTAGCCCACCCCTGTTTTGATGTCTCAGTCCTATAATTTCTGGGCTTTAAACCCCCTCTGCCTCAAAATGCCCCTCAGAAATTTTGAGTAGGCATAAAATTTGTGTGTTTTCCATCAGTGCTTTCATATAAAGTGTATCACTCCTCTTTGCCTCTACTAGTTTATACTTTACATAAAAAAGGTATCAGTGTGTCTAATTGAATTGATGGGTGGGAACAGAGGCGGGGAAAAAGATTACCACCCTGCTGAGAAGACAATGATCTCACACTCACATAGCCGCGGCGACTGTTGCAGGGCTTCTCTTGCTTGCAGTCTTTTACATTAGCCCTAACAACAAGACTGCAAGCAAGAGAAGCCCTGCAACAGTCGCCGCGGCTAACACTCACACTACTGATAAGAGGACAGGGGAGGGAAAGTGATTATCACCTTGCTGAGAAGGCAAGGGAGTGATTGTTATTCGTGAGGGGGCGGAGAAAGGATTTGTTGCAAAGAAAAAATACAGTCAACACCTGTACACAAATATGAGGACAATTTATGGTTATTTTCTTCCAATCTAACGTTAAATTTGTAGACACAGAAGGCCATGATCCAATATTCACTTTAAGAAGGCTGAACCACGTGTTTGAAATCTTATAGAACTCAGAAATATATTCTGATTATCCGATGACCGGCGAAAAGGACGACCCTGCCCACCCCACCTTGGTCGACCGCAAAATGTCACGCTACGAAAAACGTCTTAAAAACCACCAAATTTACCTGTTTCTGAACATCTGCGTCACTCAGCGCCATCTTGATGTAGTCTTCTACTCGTCCGTGTACTTAGAGGGTCAAAACAAACGACTACTTTCCCTTAAAATTCACCAAAATGACAGAAAAGGTGATTCCTCCACGGAGATTTCTAAGATCATGTGATTTTGCGGTCAGCCTCGCGAAGAACTGTGGGTAAAGAATGTACCACTTTTTTAAAGGGGATCTTTTTAACTACGTACTTTAGTTCGAGTCTAAACGTAAGGCAAGAAAGAAATAAAAAGTACCTATATATTTTCTAGTATTACATATAGTCAATAGTTATACTGAATTTTTAAATGTTTTGTCTCATAGTCATTAATTTTAATGAATTCAGAAATTATGATTTTCTTATGCCCCTCCAAATAAGTTTTGAACTAGACCATAAATGATTATTGAAACTGACACATGTGATGCCCATATGATCCTGTGTTTTTACCTGTACAGGTGAGTAGGATAGACAGGTAAAACTTTAACCAAATCATAGAAACCAACAATCATATCAGCAACTCATGTAGCCTATTTTTCCAACAGTTTATTCATATGTAGAATATTGAAATTGTCTTGTCTGATTTTGGCAGTGGTAACTTTATGTATCATCAGTGTTCAACACCCTTTTATAACGTTAAAGCTTGTGCAATTCTTGATGCTCAATGTAGGTGACTTTTCTACCTTCCCGACAATGGCTTCGGACTTGGAGGAAGGCGCAGTGTTGTCAGACGTCCATATCGATGTCCATCCTTCCAATCAGAAGTCCCACGGTGAGTTCACCCTTACCGTCTTCAACTTTACTGTCCCACAATCTGACAACAACTCCAGCGATTCTGAAGATGATTCAGATTCTGAAGAAATACGCGAACCAGAGGCAAAGTGTTTAAGAACTGCGGAAGAAACAGTATGTGTGGATGAAGATGGCGATTTGGTCTTACAAAGACGTAAAACAAATTGTACAGAAATGGAAGTCCATATCCAGCATGCAATGGCTACTCCACTAGACACAGTAGGACTACAAGTTTGGAGAGGGGCACTTCTAATGTGTGACTTTATTCTACACAACCAAGATGTCTTCAAGTCTCACAGTATCTTAGAGCTCGGAGGGGGCGTTGGTCTTGTGAGCATCGTAGCTGGAGCTGTGGGGGCCTCCAAAGTCTACTGTACTGATATCGGAGACAGGCTTCTAGAACTATGCAGGGAAAACGTCTCAAGAAATGAGCACTTGTTCCAGCCACTCAGTGCTAGTGACAAGAAAGTGGTTGTTAAGAGGTTAGATTGGTTGGAAGAAGAATTCCAAAAAGTTGATGAAACAGAAAAAAGTTGTGTGAAGTCACTGTCAGAGTGGACTAAAGCAGATCTTGAGGATTTAGAAAAAAATGTTGACATCATACTCGCGGCAGATGTTGCATATGATAATGAACTAACAGACGGGTTCTTTAAATCGGTGTTTAATCTCATTACTTGTGGACAACCGAAGACACTGTATGTAGCACTTGAGCGCAGGTATAACTTCACCCTTGAGGACTTAGATGTCACTTGTAAGTCTTACGATCATTTCAGAAAGTGCCTATGTGATCTAGAGGGTGTGTATGAGTGTATAGAAGAGTCAGCAGACAGTGAGTCAAGTTCTCAGGCAAAAATACAAAGCTCTGAGTGGTCCAAGATTACAGAGAGTCAGAAGGAAGAAATAGGAAGAAAGGAACATAGGGCAGAACCTATAAGATTTCTGGAGGTGAAATCTGAACAAGTCTCAACAGACTTTCCTCAGTACTCTGACTACACAAGGGTGAAAGAGCTGGAACTCTGGAAAGTCAGCTCCAAATTTCTCTCCTTAGATTCTTAGTTTTTTATTACCTGTCATCAGTAGGACTCTAAAATGATTATAAGCCAACCAATCACTTAGAAGCTAGCTGCTTTGTCAGTAGCTATTTCCAGCTTGTAATTGCTGCTTTTCCTCTGGACCTGCAAATAAATGAGTTTGACTAATCACTTATGATCTACTTGATTCAAAGCCTGAAAGAGGAACTGGTACAAACAATGTTCACAATATGAATCTATAACCAAATAGCCAGTGTGCAGGTAAAGAATAGCAGATTATGGAATTTTTGACAAGACCTTTAGGAGGCGTTACAAGCTAATACTGTATCTCTTCTCATCTGTTTTGCAGGTCTGGGGGGAACTGCAACTGTTGAAATTCAACATAAAAATCTGCAGTCCAGATAGACTTTTTGAACACCTGTTGAGATCATAACATAACTCAACTTCTTTGAATGCAAACAGAAAGTTCCAACATAGTCAAACAACTTGCAAGGGAAGTTAAAGCAACGTTCAAGTTTTTCTAATGTGCAAAAGGGATTGCTGCCCTCTCCTGAACTAATACAAAAATAATATGGAGGATTACATCAAAGAAAGAGAAGACAGAGAAGTCATTTGGTCCCTGTTGTCAAGGGAAGTAGAGACGCTAAACCAATTGAAGCTTTGTGAAAAGTTTGAAGTGCTATTTTATGAACGACAGGGAAAGAGGTTAGAAACAGATCAGGACACAAATTACAACAATGCTGAGCCTTGTTATCCAACCTTAGAAAAGAAAGATGGTTTTCAAGAAGTGGAAGACAAAAGAGTTTTGCACCTTGCACTGTCAGAGGATGCAGAAAGGTTGAGGCAGTTGAAGTTCAATGAACAATGTGAAGCACAATATCATGAAAGACAAGTAGTCAACATTTCTAGCAATGTACATGTAAACCAGGATGGTTTTGACAAAGATCCTGACAACAAAATAGGAAATATCAACATAGGGAATGTAGAAGAAGAAAGAACTGAACATGATACAGAACTTGAGAAACTAGTTAAGATGGAAGAGGAAGGCAAAGAAGAAGAAGAGGAGGAGCAGATAAATTGTTACCCAGAAGATGAGAAGGAAGGAACTGAAATAGATGATGATGACCAAGATGGCTGCAATGCAAAGCAACCACCTGTTACAGAATTCGAAGTGCATTCTTGGATAGGTACAGATTCTCCAATAGAAATGAAGAAAGTTGTTTTGGAGGAGCAAAATAAAGAGGAAGAAAGAAGTTTCCAGTCAGTTGCTATCCAGACAGAAAATAGTAGTAGTACTTCTGATAATGAAAATCTGAGAAAGGATACCAGAGAGAGTGAAACACAGACTGACCCACCAGACATAACTTCAAGTGACAAGGACCTGACAAAAGTAGCAGCAAGTTTGGGTACAGATTCAGAGCTGCTGAAAACGATGAGGGAGGAAAGAAGCAAAAGGCTGGTGATGGAGCAGATGGTGAAGATTGTTGAATCTGAGGCCAACGAACAGAGATACCAGCTTCTGGCTGAGAAGAACAGAGCAGACAAGCTAGAGATGGACTTGATTGACACCAAGGTATGAAAGAAGATTTTTTTTTTTTCCTTTCAGAATTTGTAACTGTTATATGTCAGTTTTCTCAGCAAAAAAACAAAGTTTTTACATATTATTAAAATGTATTTTAACAGAGTTGGCCATTCTGTTTGTAGAAGTTACAGCAACATGATAAAGTTTGAGTCAATTAAAGGTGCCCTAAGCGATATCAGGGCATTAAAATAGGAAATATTTAGAACAAGACAATCTGTATGGTATTGACACATACCACCAAGTATCAGCACATTTGCATCATTATTTCATACGTTTGGCGTTTGAAACAGCACAGAAACTAGCCCAGAGACAAGTTGCTTGATTTATCGGGGCCTCCATTTAATCGGCCCCAAAATCCACCAAGTAACCGTTTCCCGTCGACAATTTTCGGGAACTTCCGCGAAAAATGGAACGCGCTGCCTTGGTTCCATGGATCGAACGCAAGAGTTCGAAACCGATTGACTTCAAATTTGACGATTTTTGAATGGTCAGAACCTTGTATTCAATTCCTCTTTTTGTATATACTTGAATGTTATCATATCACTTATTATATCGCATGTGGTAGCCACATTCATACAGTTTCTCATACCAAGAAACGAATTTTATGACATTACGCGAAATGTATCAATATGTAGCGGAAACTCAGGATGACCTGCAGTTCGACTGATTCAGCGCGTTCGTGGTTAACCACGTGACTCGTCCTCGGCTCTGGTCGGAAGAAGTCGGAAGTGTTCGCGAGCGCTCGGAAATTTCAAAAATGGCCGACACCACTGCCGGTGGCGGGAGGCACGTAGTTTTTCACGGCGTTCGTACGGCAAAGCGGCGTCGAATTTTTGCTCCATGACTATCGGTATGGGATAGGATAGGGTTGATTCAACATACTGCGTGAAAATGTGACAAAAAGACAGACTTTTGAAATTGAATGCTCCCAGCCTACTATCGGCCAGATATCGCTTAGGGCACCTTTAAGGTATTGTTCTTCAGACTTCTACTAGTAAATAAAATTTATTGCATTGTTTATTTCAGGCTGAGTTGTCACACACCACTAGTCTGGCTGTGGAGTACAAAACCAGAGTTTTCGACCTGGAGGACAGTCTACAAGGAGCTAGGAAAATGGTGAGGTGGTTAATATTTTACTGCACACAAAAGGGCAACCATGTTTAGTTCTTAGCTACTTAGGTATCTTTTTGTATATGTGTTTACCTCAGGCACTGATGATTTGTCAAGTGCATGCTGAAGCCTGTAGAATTGTATTCTGGTCACACTCACAAGGTTTGCAGTATACAAGAAGGTGCCAAAGAACTTGGCTCATACATTAGTAAAGTTCAAGTCTCTTGGAGGGTCAGATCAGAACTTTCAGTTACTGTGCTTAGGAATTGACTAAGGGCTGATTCAAGGGTAATTTTGTAGCTTTTGAGCATTTGACAGATGGTAACAATGTATGACGTAATTTGCACCACTGTAAGATTTTGAATGTATTCAATCTCGATCATTCTTTCATTCTTTCTTTTTTTCAGATCACGAATTTAGAAGAAAAGCTGACTGGAACTGAGTATTTCAAAGGGTATGTAAGATTTAGGAAACTGCTAGAAAACTGCAAATGTCGTACAGTTGAATTTCAATAATTGTATATGTTTTTTCTCTTTGTCTACTTAAAATTGTGTTTTTAGTCTATCATGTATGGCACATTCATGTTTTTCCATTTAGTGGAGTGGACTATATGTTGGAAAATAAGTTGGCACAGACCAGGACCACAGAGGCAGAGAAAAAATTGCATGGTGAGTTTTACAACCAAGTATTTCAATTTACTAATTGAGTCATGGATATTATGTTACACAGTGTTACAGATTAACAGATTGCTTTTTGAAAGATATCTGATTTATTTCTTTACTTTTTGTAAGTTGACTCACGGTGTAAAAGAAGTAACATGACCTTAACTTTTAAGGAACTTTCTATTTTTCAGGTGTGCAAGAAGAACTTCTTCAAGCAAGGAATGAAATCAATCGACTCCTGGAGAAACTGTCAGAAGTCAACAGAGAAAAGTAAGCAATCTTTCTAACATTTGTGAGAAAGTTAAAAAAAACAGTACCCTTTACAAATAATGACAATAGTGGAAAAATTGTCTTTGTTCTGCTTTTAATTTTCAGCATTTGAGCATTGGGTCACCAACCAGGGTCATCATTGTTTAGCAACATAATGTCAATTGCCCTTTTCCATATTGGCCTTAAAGGCTTTGTTATACATGTACATGTAAGTTACAAAAAAGACTTTTAAGTTCCTGTATTGTAGAGAAGACCTTTCGTGTTGCTAAGATACCTGAAACTTAAATATTGCAAAAACAAACAAACATGACCTGTTTGGTCACTTCCTCACAAAATCTATAAGCTAAAACATATTTATTCTGATAACAAACTTTATGCTGTGTTACCTGTCATATAATGTATGACATTTTTATGTTAATATCAGAATCTGATTTTTGGGACTCCAATGTAGGTCAGAAATGGTGTCCAGTACAGTACACCTGGAGTTACTGAGGATAGCAGATGAAAGAGCAGCACAGGCCGAGAAAAAAACCATGGAGCTTGAGAAACAGGTACATATTTGGCTTTCTGGTGTTAGTTACATCAAGGAGCTCCTTGGTTACATTTTTTCCTATTTCAAACACAATAACAATAATACTTAACAGTTTTTACAGCAAAATCATGAAAAAACTGTCTATGTCTATAATTCTATGTACTTTATTGATGATTGTAGATGTATAATGTTACAATAGACTACAGGTAATCAAATTTGTACCTTAAGTTCTTTAAAGGTGACACTGTTACCTTTTTGCCAGCTGCATGACACAAAGAAAACTCCACAACAGACTGGGAGAAATGTCGGTGACCGTAGCCCTGTCCAGTCCCCTGTAAAAGTAAGATAAACACATTTTTACTTTTCATTCTCTTCTTTAATATGTAAGAATTGCATACAAAATGTTTTTTTTTTCTATTCCTTTTACTGTGCCATAGTCTACAAATTAATTACAGTCTGTTTAACATAATCTATCAGAGATCACTGGACTAGAAAGCCTGCCATATATAGGCAAAGACCTTTTAAGTGTACCCATTGTGACTTAAACCGTGCCTGAGGTGTTCTTATGAGTATCTGTGTCACCTTTCCTGGATGTCAACCAGACAATTGGACAAGGGTCGGCCCACTGGTAAAGTTCGGGGGGGGGGTCAATTTTATTTCAAAGTAAAAAAGTGGGTACTCAAGCCAGAATACCTTCAACTTAACGTTTGGTAAGATGGAAATGAAAACAAAAGATGGTGTAAAAATTTTCATGAAGGCTCACTGATCTTTCAATTGGAATGTTTCAAATTGTTTAGCCAAGGACGTTGTCTTTATCTATGGGTGATCTTTTTCCTATGAGGTCACTTCCTCAAAACAACAAGTGAGAGTATCAGTTCCTTTACTTTTTTATCAGTCACTGCTCAGATTTCATTTTTACATGTAGGAATCATTCAGAGAAGAGGCCATTCTACAGCTTGGGTTGAAAAATAACTCACTATATTTTGTGATATCGCAACTTTCTTTGTTTTGTTTTGTTGACAAAGTTGTCAGAGATAGTGCCAAGGCCCTCCAGGGCACATACCGTCAGCGGCCTAATGAGCATCCCAGAACTGCCGGATTTTTCCACCACAAAACCAGACATCACCAAAGTGTTGCCCTCTCTGCCACACACCACAGCAAAACAGGTCACCCCTCTACTAGGTAGGTAGAAATTCCATGTTGTTGGATTAATTTACATCACTGTGCACCTAGAATGCTTCTTTTGTAAGTTGTAAATCATAACCTGTTATCAGGATTTTGCTCTCTGACATTCAGAAACGAAACATAGCTTTCAACACATTCAAAACAAAACAGGTCAGTTTTTTGGCTGAATTTCCATAATTCCAATGCTTTCTAGATTCATTAAAATTTAGTTAAACATTCTCACGTTCTAAATAGAAGGCATCAGAAGTCTTTAAAGAATTTTCACTTTTTGAATACAAACTGTAGAAAAATTTGTTCATGTAGTAACTCGAGTCATACATTTCTTTCTATAAGCGTATAGTATTACATACATTTATGATATCCTTTTTCCCTTTATTGTTTCACATGAGATGACATTTCAGGCTCACTTGACTTCCCCCAAAAGACCTTCTGTCAAACAAATATGAATAGTAACAAATAAATGTCATGACATGTTATATCAACACACTTGTAAACATAACAGGGAACATTGAAGTAAAGTAAATACTCTTTGTGAATCACTGTAACTAAAAACAGTCCAGACACCCTGGTCTCACGTCTGGTTGGTGTGTTTCTCCCAGCCAATGAAAACAGTGACTCAGAGGGCTGGTCATCAGAAGAGGAAACTCCCAAGCCAGTCCCAGCGAGGGACAGTCCAAAATCCACAGCCAAAGGGCCGCTGCATACAAGAATCGGGGTCAAACTTCCTGTTCCCGCATTTCTACAACAGACCAGAGAAGGTGCAAGGATACCAGGGAGCACTATCAGAGCAACTGAAAAAGAAAGGTAAGTTATATGCTCCCTACCATAAGTTCATATTCAAGGTTTTGTTCATCATATTTTGTAAAGACTAGCTGGGAATGTCCAAATATTTATGTTTCTGAAATGGAATAGTGCCTGGTTCTATTTCTGGGTTCTTTGACATTCTATGCTTCTTTAGAACATAGAAGCTTATTCTATAGAACTGTTTGTTCTACACTGAAGGATCCATGTGTTCTATCAACTGTTTTCAAAGTTCCTGTGATGACTTATGGATGCGATAAGTGCACTCGCGCTACTAGTTGCTCTTCTTTGCTTGATAGTAGCTTCAATTCTTTATAAGAAAATGTAAGTACATGTACTTTTGTTTGTAAGAACTGTTTGCGTATGCTTGTAAGTGCTTTTGTATAGTGTTTCTGTAGCGTTAAGACATATTTTCTTTATATTTTTTTTACCCAAACTCTTTATGGCGCAAAGAGTTGGGGTATTCAAAAATTTGTCATAATAGACATTATTCCTATCTACCAGGTTTGTTTAAGTGAGCATGTGAATATGTTGATTAATATTACTTGTGGCAGAGAAATTATTGATAGCTGATAGATATAATAAATGTTATGAAAATTTAAAATGATACTTTTCTTTATTTGCTAACTGTAGTAATTGCAAATTTTAGCCACCTGGACTCTATGGTGAGATAAAAAAAAGGAACACAAATGCTTTTAGACTAGGCACATAAATTATGCTAATGATGTACTTTACACTGCAACAGGCTTGGAAGCAGTGTTAAACCATGGAGTTCATGGTTAAACTAAGAGCTCACTTTTCTAAGTCATTTCTTTCTTCTTATCAGAAGCAAAGGGGTACTTGTTCTTTATTGACACTACTGGTTACCTAATTGAGTAATTCTCTGCTTATTCCTATTTTTGAACTTGCCTCAATATTTACTAACAAAAGGAAAGCATGTTTGTAAAAAAAAATTAGCAACTGTGGTTGTGAATGGATATGCTTATAAGAGAAACTTTATTTGCAAAATCATGCCCGAAGGCTAATTGCTTTTACAATCAAGTATAATACTCATTGCAAGAGTAGCTTATAAGAGATAGTGTGTAGTATGTGTTTTTGTAGGTGTAATGTTGATACATATCTTTGTATTTTTTAAACCCCAACTGACACAGTTGGGGTGTCCAAAAATTATTTTTTCATGAATATCCATTTTGTAAAGATAGTGGCCAATGTGTTATGGACGTCAATGTGCTATTATTGGTTGTACTTGTGGTGTAGAAATTTTCATAGTAGAAAAATATACAGATAACATGAAAATTTGACATGATGCAAGCTATGTTGTAGTTGCTAAATATGATATTTACACATTTTAGCCCACATAAATGTGGTTCATGGTGTGATACAAAAAAAAATAGACTTGTAGGAAAGGCACATAAATTATGTTAATGAGATAACTTGTATGGTGACTAACTTGGATCTGGTAGTGGTAGTCTTGTAGATGCAAATCCTTTTCTCAACATCACTGACTTAATTTTTTTACCTCACTCTGTCAAAGTATGGTTATGGTAGCCTGATGTGTGAGTGTGTAGTACCCATCCATATTTAAGGTCTGATGTTCCGCTCTTCTGTTGAGTTGCTTGTAAGTGCTTGTGTATAGTGTTTGTATGTGTAGTTGGGGACATATTTTCTTTACATTTTTTTTTACCCCATTAACTCTTAATGGCGCTAAGAGTTGGGGTATCCAAAAATTGGTCTTAATAGACCTAATTCCAATCACCTTGTTCAAGTCTCAAGTGAGGAACTGAATATGTTTTGATTGATATTACTTGTGGCAGAGAAATTATTGGTAGCAGGTGTTATGAAAATATAAGATGATACTATTCTTCATTTGCTAACCGTAGTAATGCTACCAGTAATTGCGAATTTTAGCCACCTGCACTTTATATGGTGTGATAAAAAAAAAGGATTACAAAGACTTTTTAGACCAGGGACATAAATTATGCTAATGAGGTACTTTGCACTGCAACAGGCTTGGAAGCAGTGTTAGATTACTTGTATGGTGACTGACTTGGATAATGTCCTTGATATAAGTAACATCCTTGTTTGCACACAGTGGTAGATACAAATTCTTTTCTCTACAACACTGACTTAATTTTTTTACCTCACTATGTCAAAGTATGTGTGAGTGAGTGTGTAGTACTCATCCATATTTTAGGTCTGAAGTTCCGCTCTTCTGTTGAGTTGCTTGTAAGTGCTTGTGTATAGTGTTTGTATGTGTAGCGTTCAGACATATTTTCTTTACATTTTTTTTACCCCATTAACTCTTAAAGGCACTCTATGTAGTTTTTTGACAATACAAAAAGTATATTTTTCATTCTTTTCTTTACATAGTACATTAACTTAACCCTTTAGTATTCCAAAATCATACTCCTCAACAAAAAAATACAACATCCTTGCTCCATAGAAGCTTAGAAAACTGTGAATGATCTTCTATACAACCTCTGGCCAAACCGCACATATGGTACATTGTATTGTCCACTGCTAGTGGTTTGACCTACATCCCAGTGGGGTGTCAGTTGATAGCTTACCAGTTTCTGAAATACCTAATCGTTTACCAGATTTTTATCTCTTTTGAAGGGATAATGACCACAGTTTATTCATGCCCAACAAAATACTCCAAGTTGATAATTATATTCCACCAGACCTCATGTGAAAGATATGAGTGTTTTTCTAAGGAGGCTATATCTTGTCACATGTGCCCCTGTCAATCAAGCCTGGCAAGCCGGGTCAATTAGCCACCCTAGGGGGCAACCCCTGTATGTTGTTGTTGTTGTCCTCAGAGCAAACCGGTGGCACCGGGTACCCAAGAAGGACTGTTTGAACGGATACGTAAGAAATGTGAAATAATGACACAAATGTGTTGAAAAGTGATAGTAACTGTTAATAACACTGAAATTTAGTATAATTAGAATATTCCAAATTTTTGCGCAAAAAACTACATAGAGTGCCTTTAATAGCGCAAAGAGTTGGGGTATCCAAAAATTGGTCTTAATAGACCTTATTCCAAATACACTGTTAATAGGCTCAAATGAGGATCTCAATGTGTTTTGATTGATATTACTTGTGGCAGAGAAATTATTAATAGCAGATGTTATGAAAATTTAAGATGATACTATTCTTCATTTGCTAACTGTAGTAATGCTACCAGTAATTGCAAATTTTAGCCACCTGCACTCCATGGTGTGATAAAAAAAAAAGGATTACAAAGACTTTTTAGACCAGGCACATAAATTATGCTAATGAAGTACTTAACACTGCAACAGGCTTGGATACAGCAAGGCTCTTTGGATACCCACTTTTCAAAGTCATTTCCCTGGTCATTTCTTTCTTCTTATCAGGAGTAATTGTTCTATATCGATGCTACCGTTTACCTAATTCCCTTCTTATTCCATTTTTTTAAACTTCCATCAACATTTATTAATTGAAAAAGTACATTTGTAAAAAAAAAAATAGAAAGGCTGACATTTTCTTCGGAGCAAATGTAGCAAATGGCTTCACCACATTTCACAACATGGCAAGGAAAGAAGGAAACTTACAAATAATATAGAAATTTGACATGACACAAGCCATGGCCCAAAATAGTTCAACTAACTTAGCAAATGTAGTTCACTAGAATGGCCAAAAATTGTTTGACTAACTAAGCAAATGTAGTTCAGTAGCAAAGCTGGCTGCTTGGGTTTGGCACAGGTTCAATACCTGGTGTCCAGGGAACAGGGTAGACTGTACTTCTTTATATTTGTTTTCATCCCGTGGCGCCCCCGCAGAGCGTGAGACTGGGATATTAAAAATTTTCTACCAAAAAACAATTCGGTAGGGAATGCATTAGTTCAAACAAAGTTGTATGTTCAATATACACGCAGGATGTAAATGTCTTGTTGTGGGTACGTGAGTGGTTTCTGGGAATAAATTGATCACAATTTGCCTATCTTTCAGACGTTATTATGTTTTGTTCACTTGGATATTGAAAATGTTCATTTGCAGTCTTTTCTACATGGGACTTGCAGGCATATTTGCTAAAAAATCAAGGATTTGTGGTTTGGAACATAAATTATGTTAATGAGGTGGCAGCATCATGCCTGATCCTGTTGTCTATACCTACTTTTTCTAGCTATCTTACAGGCCATCAATTCCTAAGACATTAGAAAACATGACTACTAACATGACTAATACTAAACTGCTTTCAGTACCAATATATGATTGAACTTCTAATCATATCAATGCATTAATAATGAAAAAAAATTTAACAATCATGAAGACCAAAAGTTTCATCTTGTCAGGCAGGCTAGGCTAAAATGCACATGTATTTTGTGAATCTTCCTTTTGTTTCACACAACCCCACCTCAAGCGCGAGATTGGGGTGTCCAAAAAGTAGTTACAGTGTATTAGGTATTTTCACCCAATACAAACACCATTTATGAATAAAAAAGCTTTATTTCATACAGGTATAATGTATAGCTCAATTATAGTTGTGGTTTTGATTTTTTGTGGGAAGTAAATTGGTTGAGTAACACTAAATCATGACTCCTTTTTATGCAGAATATATTAGAATGAAGCAATCATACATTTTTTAGGTCTCTTGAATGAGAGACAGTGTGTTTCTTCTGAAATACCAGGTTTTTGTGACCAAGGACATAACTTATGTTAATGAAGTAGCCTGGCATTCACTAAAAGTGGGATGGACTGCCACAGTTGTGTGAATCTTCTTTTTGTTTCATACTACCCCAACTCAAGCGCGAGATTGGGGTGTCCAAAAAGTTATAAATAATGTATTTCACCCGATACATATACCGATTATGAGGAAAAAAGTTTGGTTTCAGTCTGGTAGCATATGTAGCTTAATTATAGTTGTGGTTCTGAATTTTTTGTTAGCAGTAAATTGGTTGAGTAACATTAGACCATGACTTCTTTTTATGCAGAATATATTAGAATGAAGCAATCATGCATTTAATGGTACTCTTTAATGAGAGACAGTGTATTTCTTCCAAAATACCAGGTTTTTGTGCCCAGGTACATAAATTATGTTAATGAGGTATGCAGGACATTCACTTGTAAGTGGTAGTCCATCTTGTACTGCTACATTTGTGTGAATCTTCCTTTTGTTTCATTTAACCCAACCTCAGAGCGCGAGATTAGGGTATCCAAAAAATATAATCGGTTTTTACACCCGATTCGAACACGATTATGAGGTACAAAATGTTTCCATTCAGAATACCATCATGTTCTTCTTAAATACAGCTGTGGTTTCGATATTTTTGTTGCAAGGAAACTGGTTTACTTACACTAAAGCCTGACTATTTTCAGGCAGGAGTTATTAGAGTGTAATAATTACACATTTATCAATTCTCTTAAATGAGAGACAGTGTGTATTTCTTCCAAACTACCAAGGTTTGGGGCCAGGTACATAAATTATGTTAATGAAGTAGGGCAGGGCAATCATGCACTGGTAGTAAAGTGGTAGTCCTTGTACAAATATTTGAAGTGTACAAATGCATTGTACATATGTAAGATTTTTACCATGGAAATGGAAACTGCCTTTGTAATACCCAATGTAATCCCCTTGCCCTCAAATGCCAACTCCCATGGCACATCAACTCTACCTACAGGTAAAGCCTTGTAGATGTGTACGAATATTCGTTTATTTCTCACCCCAACACCTCTGTGCGCGAGGCTGGGATGTCCAAAAATATCACCATATAAGTAGCGAAGACGGATTGCACCCGAAAATCGCTAGAGCAGCACAGTACTTACTAGTAATTGTTTTTGTGATATGTAAGTCTTGATATAATGTATCTGTGGCCATACGATTCCAATAGGCAATGAGTCAAAATAACACTCAAAACGCATTCTTCTATGCAGTTTTCATTATGTTTATGGCATTTTAAATGCTTTCAATTCTTCATCATGATATATATTGTCATTCTTTTGTGATTTGAAACCATTTTGGCCAAGCACATAAATTATGTTAATGAGCATCGGCCGCATTTTCATGTAATAGGGAAAGGCATTTGTAGTGTGATACATGTAGTTATACATTTCTTCCTTCTTTTTTTTCAATCATATGTTGTGTGGAGAAGTGGTGTTGAAAAAGCTTAGAAATGAAAGTATGGTTTGATTTTGCATCAAGGTAACCAATATTGGCGTGTATTTTCAGGTCAAAGCCCCCCGTACCAGCCAAGCCAATGGTTGCACCCAAACCCACCAAGATGACGTCACCATCACCCCAGACGCAAACATCAGCTGCCCCCACTCCAAAGACCAAACAGGGGCAACAAGTGGAACCCCCCTCATCATTTGAAAAGGTAGATACATTTTTTTTAAGCAGCAAGAAATGAACAGATGCACTAAACTGAAAGGGCTCCATACTACACCACAACTTCATTCATAAACCAGAAAACATATTGGTACATTTATTTGAATTCTATAGCTCCAGGTAATGTTTCAGCTTGTGCACAATCTTCATTTTTCTCTCTCTCTCTCTCTCTGTGCCATTTTTTCTGTCGTTACACCCACCAACAGCAGCGACAGAAAAAACGGGGCATATATGGAAAGGTAACAATCTTCCCCACCAACCTCTGCTTGGAGAGTAGCCTAGAGTGGTATGGGTCTGGCATCCAGGCTACTTCAGTATAGAGAAGGTAAAAAAATTCTGCCTTCAGATGTTTTAAGTCAGACTGTTGACCTAGTTCCCACCTCCCCACCCTAGGCTGCAGAGAAGCCACAGACTCAACTGCACAGAAGAGTCCAGGGGCCCAGCGGTCGCAGGCTACCTCAGAGGCACAGCAAAAAACCTGCTGGGGGAAAATCATAGCCGATAGCAACTCCTTCCAGTTTCTTAAGGTTGATACAGTAAAAACTGTAGTATTCTACTAGTTAATACATTGCCGTGCAATTGGTTATGGATGTACAGTTTTTAACTTTCTTACTTTGACATTCAAATTGTTGAATTGTTTGTTAACTACATTGTAGTTCCTGTTGTAGTATGTTGTACACAAAGATTTCCACTGATTCAGTATTACTGCATTGTTGGAATGACCTACTCTTGCACAATCAGGTAAAATGTGTAATACTTTGTATTATGATTGAACATGAGAATCTTCAAGGTATTAATGTAAAAGATTAGTAAGGCCACACCAATTTAATTTGTTGGTTCTCGGATTCGCCTCTTCATTTTTTTCTGATTTGCAAAAAAAAAAAAGATTCTGGTTCTGAATCTGAACCAACAGTTGAGGAAATTCCTTTTCTTCCTAGTTGTTACAGTTTTTTCCATCTATCAATACAGTGGTTTGATTAAGAGTTCAAAATTTATACTTTAAATTTTAACCCAGCCTTTTTTGTTGACTTCATGGCTCATATTGTAGCATTTGGGGCTATAATAGGATGCCTAGACCTGTTTTTATTTTTTATTTTTTTCGCCCTGTCGCTTCATATTTTTTCTGAAAAAGTCTGAGAACCAACAAATTAAATTGGTGTGGCCTAATGTTAAAAAAAGGAATCCACTTTGGCCTATGTACCAATATCTAAGACCTATGCAAAAGCAACAAATGACCATACAAGGCAATAGTATTTTCAATGTTTTTTTTTATCACCACTGTGACTGTTACAGCCAAAAGTGGACTAAACTTTCAGGTGTTGGTACCCATACACACATTATGACACCTACATGTATTTTATAATAATTTCATGTTGCAGCTGACACAACCTTGCAATAAAAAATGTAATTCAAACAGGGTCAAATGTAGGTAATAATTTTGATGTCCTATTGTAGCAAATGATATTCAATATGTTGATTTTTTAATTTCTGTATAATCCATAATACTGCCCAGGGCTGACATATCTGAGATCAAAATATGTCAAAACCTGTGTCTTCGACACACTTTTGTTCTAAGTTTTGAATTGCACCACATTCTGTACTTATAGCAAAATTAAGAACTCAGGATTAAGATTATCAAAGGAGGTTTATATCGTATGTTGATCTTTGTTTTTTACTTGAAGAATATACAAAGCCATAGTACATGTAGCACTGTACTTCATGTGACAACATTGAACACCTCTGTTAAACTATAACTTTATATGGCTTTTAATGGTGATGAACACAGTTGATCTGACCCAAGAATTCTTTTAGTTGCCTAAAGATGGTGATAATCATACATATTCCACATTTAATGTTTCAAAATGGAAATAGGCAATATACAATGTCTACAAAAATTCTTGATTGTTACTTATGTTTGAGCAAGGAGAATAAATTAGGTACAATTGTAATTGAATGCCCATTCCACCTCTTTTAGAGTAACACTCCCCTCAAGAAATATCCTACATGTACATGGTATATTATTTCTGCCAAAAGTACTTATTTTAGGGTACTGTGGGTGTCTAAATGTCAATACCTTTGTGTATCGGTTATGTACAATGTAATTTGTAAAACATATTTTGTATGATGACCTATCAGTGTCAGTACCTGTTAATATACACAGTGAAGCTATGTAATTGAAAACTAGCTGGCCGTAATATTGAAGCACTTATGGCTATTGCATGCCCGTAGCCAGGATTTTGAATGGGGGGGGGGGTTCTTCTCACTGCTTGAGGGACCAGCAAGCACCGAAGGCGTGAGGTTCTTTGGGGGGTCCTGGGGCATGAAATTTTGAAAAATGAACCTTCTGAAATGGCATTTCCTGCATTTTTTGGAGGAAAAAATCAGAGATAACTTTTTTCAATGACAGAGCAGTTTTCCTAGGATTCCAGCCTCGCTGGTGACATGAATCAGTCCATCTTTTAAAGAAAAATCTTGAACCTTTAGATAAAAAGTGGACCAAAAAGTGGACCTTTGAGCCTTGTGGGGGGGTTTGGACAAACCTACAAAGCTACGGGCATGTATTGCATTAACATGTGTACATCACATGGTAGGTAGACATTAGACACACTCACTGGTCCACTAGAGTATTACTGGTACTGATCTAATTTGTATAGTACACAGTAACCATTTAGAACAATTTACTGGACTAAGTCTACATTATTCATAGTGACACCTCACCCAATCACACACTCATAATATACATGTACCTTCACAAATCAGTACTACTGCTACACTTTTCATAAAGTGTAGACTAAGATTTCTAAATATCAGAAATCTCAACAAGTCAAAATATAACTATATATAAATAAGAACTTCACATTAATTTATCGAAGTGTCCTGGCATATATCAGATTTGCTAGTACAAATTTTAAGAAGCATTTTCAAGCTTCTTTGATGTTTAAGTAGCAATTAAATGTGCTGTTCCTCTAGCAGCTTGGTAAATACTTAGTAGTAACCTTACAGCTAAGAAAACTAGCACAAGGCAAAAATCCCTATTTTTACATGTCACCAGCATTTTAAGCACCCCCGTCTAGAAAGTGGTTTCTTCCTGATCAGGCACGATCTCTATACTACTGTCCGCTGATCTGGCGGAACCTCCGGAATCCGCTGATTCCGTCGCCGACGTTCCGTTGTCTGCGTCGCGTTCCGACTTGATGGCAAGGATGTCTCTGATTGGTTTAGGAATGTCCTTACATTCTGCGATCTGGATGTAGATGCCTTCTGCCTTTTTCAAGATCTCCTCCACGTCTATGTGCAAGGACAGGTCGTTTATGTGCTGTGAGGAAAGGAAAAAAACATCAGCTCCACTATTATACAATGTATCATTCTTCCAACTCATGGTGTCCATCCAACTGAACACAAAAACAAACCATTCCAACTCAAAACTAGAGAAGTAACATTTGCAAAGCAAATGCATAATGTTTACCTTTGGACATGGTCTGCCCTGTTAATTTTAACTCAAACACATTCACATAACATTACATGTACTACAGTATATGGTGACAGGAGCAGAGCAGACCATGAAATTGCAACATTATGTAACACCAGTCACCATGGTGACAGACGTCAACAAATCATGTCATTGGCCAGGTCAGAGGTTAGTGTTTGGAACAGAGCAGAAGAGGAAGAAACTGAGTAAAAACAATATGTTTTCCTTCGGTAAACATAACAATACACTACAGTCAAACATGTACAAGTGACCATTTCTACATAAGGACCACATAGCCCATGTGACCACATTTTTGTGGCCCCTTAGATAATTTTCTGCATTGACACAAACATTAAGAATCCTGTCTTCAGTGACCACCTGTCCATATAGACCAGATTTTATTGGTCCCGAGTGTCCCTTGGGCAGTTTTGACTATATATGTGGGTCTCCCAAAGTGATATAGTGTTGAAGTGACACTTTCAAGAAGCCATTTGACAAGCCTAACTGGGTCAGTCTTGAAGAAGGAGATCAAAGAAAATGGTCGAAAGCTCAAGGTGAGAACAATCTCTCGTGTCGGAACAAAAATTTTTAATCTAAACATGCAACTACCAACACTGCCGTTGTTTGAACTTTTCATGATAGAAACAGAGAGATGTTAGATATATTATCATCATTTGAGATACCTTGAGGATCTCGTTAAACCCAAGGTAGTTGTCCATCATGGCTGACTTCTCGGTGTCCAGGATGGCCATGCACAGCAGCAGGTGGAAGTTCTGACACAGGTAGTCTGTCCAGTGCACCTGCAGAAAATGGGCACAGTTCAATGATGCCACCTTGTGGACAAGTAATGTACTGCAGGACTTCTTACTATAGCACAGGGATTCAAGATCTTTTGGGCTGTTTTCCAAGAGATAAATTTCATTCAACACATACACCACTACAATATACTCTTGTCTTTTGAACCACTGCTATTAAACATGCATGACTTTAACCTTGTCAAAACGAGGCACTGGTAGAACTTAAACTATTCTATACAAAACAAAAGTTTTAACCTTCACTTCAAAGGTTAGCAGTTAAGTTCCAATTTTGGTGAGTTTATGCCTATGTGGTTGAAGGAAGGGAGGATTTGGAATGATACTTTGTGGACAGTTGTGGAAGAAAAGTATGTAGTTATTGCATTTGAAAGAGGTATATTATGTAGTCGATGATGAAGTCTAGACAAAGTCTTTCTGCTGACCTCCCAAAGTCTCATGATGTCAGGGAAGGAGAATTCTCTCTTGAACTGGATCAGCAGCCAGCGGAAACAGAAGTACATGTTGGCAGACTCCTTCGATTCTGTAACAAAAAGAAGAAATATGACATTTACATGGAAGGAGGTAGCCTGGGTGTCATCCGATTTGTAACGGCAGCCCCGAAAAGAAACTTGGCTGCCGTTACAAATCAGATGGCACCCAGGCTAGTAGGGTGGGGGGATCTAGGTAAACTTTTATTACATGTACAGAAGTGTTTCAAGTATTGCTATGAAAATTTTTTACAAAATGGTCCAAGCAACACACACAAGTGGCTGTAAGGATGGTGATAAAGAAATCTGGTTTCAGATAATGCATTTTCACTGAACCTTGTTACTAAAAAAAACTACCTCTACTCGCATTCAGAAAGGGTTCCTTCTGGTCGAGCTCAATTAACAGTCCATAAACCATGGCCAAACAGCTTAGATCGTAATCTGAATGATTCTTCCGGAATCTATAATTCACCCAAAACTGCTCTTTATCACTTTGACTGTTCTATGTAATTTGGACAACTTAATCTACATGTGTTATGTTTCAGTGGCCCTGACACTGCAAAATATGTGCTTCAAGCAAAACAAGCAGAGTTCTAGCCTGGTTGCTAGACTGTGTCCAGGGCCTAAAGGTCAGTTCCTCAGCTCTAGGGCCAACATGCCCCAAGGATATTATACCACAGCCCCCCTCAGAAGCCAGACTGTTCTCAGGGCCAATACATAGGCCAGCGCCAAGTCAGACCTTCGTAGTCAACTGAGAGGGTCTCTGCTAAAATATACAGAGTATGAACAGAGCTAGCCTGTACATTGCCCTTGTGAACAGTCTGGCACCCAGGCTACATTCTACAGGCTTGTCACATGTACGATCTTTGTTGTAACATTTGTAGGCCCTGATGAGCATGTTGGCTTACTCTGGGTCTAGCATGGGTCTGACATCTAGGCTAACATGTAGCAGAGTGCCTACCTAGATAGGTGTACATCTGGGGGTCCAGGAAGTGTACCAGAGTCTGGAGCTGGATCAGTTGTGTCTTCATCCCCTGCTGGTCTGTCTCAAAGTTGTGGTGCTGGACAGGGAAAGGAGCACATTGTACTGTCAAGCTACCAAATCACTAATGACTACAAACTGTACAATGTACATATAGAATACAACACGGGGTATTCCGTATCTACGAGTCAGATCGCCCGAAGGCTGAGGGCGATCCGACTCGCGGGAGGGCCGGGACCGAGGGCGATGCGGAATACACCGTGTTGTATTTTATTTATGTCATACCCACCCAAGAAAACACGCCTTTCAATGTGAAATGAGCGAAAATTTGGTGTCCCTAAACCCAAAAAATGCAACAACATCAATTCCAACGTCCGAATTTTGTGTTCAAATTTTTGAAAGCGGTGCAAGCGGTTAGATCGAAACGCGTTCGAATTGTTCAATGGAACATTTGGAAGGCCCGGGCCGTACGCGTTAAGAACCCTCAGGCCATACCGCTAGTTATCACATGGGCCAGAACACCCGTATCGAACGTAATCGCCAGGTAGGACATAAATGTATCTATGTGCAAAACAGAGGAAACTGTAACTTAAGCACAAGTTGCTGCTTGTCAATCCTCAATAAATACGTTGTGAATACAAAATGCATTAGAACTGATTCAGAAGCTTACCACTCTGTCCATGAATCCCACCAGACACCAGAAGGCATCCACTTCATTCTCCATCACCATTAGGATGGGTGAGAGGAGGTCACTCATACCCTGTACATAACCTGGAGGGATACAAAAGGAAGTTTATACATGTACATACATGACCACACGTACACACACTCAGAATTACAAGTATGGGGCTGATTGTGCAGATTGTGATATAAGTAATTTGTAAACTATGTACTTTTAGCAGCCTAAAAAAAAGTAGACAATTTACCCCCCATGTGCATGCTTTCAGGAATCATTCATTTATCCATCCATTTTATTCATTGTCTCTCTTTTTTTTCACTATCACAAAGGAGTTTTTTCAGTCTTCGAAGCTCTATTACTTCACAGATCTCTAAGTGAAAATCCTGCAAATCTCAGCACTTACTACCAAATGTACATAGTCTAGTAACTCTCTTTTCTGTAAAGATCTGTGGAATACTTGTAATACTTACCCAGATCAAAGTTGTACATACAGTAGGTCATGAGGATGTCGTACAGGAGGGTCAGACTGGGATTCTGTTCTCCCTCGAAGAACGGATGTGTTCTGTCTGTTCTGTTCACGTCTTTCTCTGTAGAAAACATCAAAGGACAATCAGTTGATACAATATAAGATACGGCAGCAGTTGTAACAACAATGCATTTTGCATGTATATGTAGCAAGAAGCACATCATATATATATAGCAAGAAGCAAACCGTCTACTACTTCTTTCAGAGGTACAAGTACATCCTCAACCAGTGAGATGTAGCTAGGTAGCATTCAGTCCAAAAATAGGAACAAAATGTCATGCAGTTGCCGAACTTTGAAACTACATTTAGCACATTTCAGACAAAGGTAAAAAAAAATGTGAGGTAACGCTATATCAATTGCTTGGCAGTCAAAACAAGAGTACAAAATGTTTCTATCTTTTTTTTTCAATCAGAAGACAAATAAATAATGTTGGCAAGAAGCAAAGTTAGGTGTAAATTCCAGGGAAAGTAGAAGTTGTCTTACCGATAAGACTCCTCCTGTCCCTGAGCTCAGTAAACCTGCTCTCCTGGTCTTCTGTGATAGACTTCCACTGCAGCTTCATACGGAAGTAGTCATCTCTGGAAACACACAATTAAACAGACTGTCATTACATGTACTAAAATTATGGTAATCAGGCAGTGATCTGGCAGTTACTCAGACTGGCAGACATTACTATAAACAATACAATGTATTACTATAAGTCTATGACTGTAAAATTGTTACTGATTTCTAGATTCCAATTTTTTATACCATAGATATTGACTAATAAGTCAACAATTGAATGTCTTGGTCATGCATATGGTTTTAGATAAAAATGTGCAACTTGTAGCTTTACATGTATTTCCCTATTTATGTACATGTATGTAAGAACACAAAATTCAGTGTGTGGGGTGCCAGTTGTTCACTTGCACAAAATATACTCTAGTAATGTAGGTGTTAAAGTAAGGGTTTTAGGAGATGGCAAAGATGGAATAATCAAACTGGCGATTAAGTAAGGAAGAACTTGGTAGATCTGTACATCCAATAATTAAAGACCTAGATCATGAAATAAGAACACTAAGTCTTACTCTTTCCTTTTCCTGAGCTCCAGCCTGTCCTTGTGTGTGGAGTCCCACTTGTAATACTCTAACAGGAACGGCCACACTTCTTTTCTCAGGGATGCATGGAGACCCTGCAACAAAACAACCAACTCACTTCAACTGAACCTAGATAATATTCAGTGAACTGCAACTGGATCATTCTCATCAGTAAACATGTTTCATAACAGCTGTTCTAAACTTGAAGTTGATACATACCAGCAATATGGGTAACATGTTCAATGTTGTAGGACTCACCACAATGCTCATGCTTTAGGCTAGTGTTTAGGATTCTCATTCTAACCCTTTAGATCCCAGGGCAGCACTCTTAACCCCTACCCTACATGTGGAACACTTCATGCCACTGTCTGTGTGACTGTTTTCAGATAAAGGAGATACCGTGTTTATGTTTTATGCCTTTTTATACTTTATGCTAATATCAGTGAATGTTACGTAATCTTTACCCCACGGAATATTGCCTCCCTCAGCAGTGGAATGCTGGTGATCCTGCCCTCCCCATCCTGATGGTTCTTCCACTGTTCAGGTCCGACCGGCTGTCTGCGCTCCACGTCTGGTCTGGGACCCAGACTAGCCTGGAGAAGTCAGGATCATGGGACAAAAACTCTTAGCAAAGGAAACTTTAGACAGACTTTAAATAAACAGTATTGTTCATAAACTATACTAATTGTACATATGACAGTCAATGATATACAAACAAGTACATAACACATAATTCAATGTAGCATCATTGTCTTTCCCTCAACACTTTTTGAAGTGAATTCTGCCTAACTCTGTAGACTGTTTGATTCATACATTTGCCTAACTCTACTGTTGTCACTAAATCTCAATTCAGCCTGAGCTTCAAATAACCCCATCATCCCCATGCAATATTTCTATGCATCAATGAAGTTTCTATCAGAATATAACCTGAAGAGAAAAACACTTCAATAAATTGTTGCATGTTTTAAAACTAGTAGTAGTATGCTATCTTCCCTATTGCATGCATCTGTGTGAAATCTGACTCGATGCACATTAAGGAGTCTTACTGTCAGTCTCTTGCAATGATTATCCTACAAGTTTGTATTGCAGCTTTCTGTGTATTTTTCTGGATTTTTGCTAGTCTCTACCAGACTAACTCTCTCTCTCTCTGGCTACACTTGCTATATATAAGAGAATATTTGCCAGGGAAGTTTGGCAGCCTTGGGGTTTGACTTCGGAGGAAAAGAACCAATCTTCTGCAAACCGATTCCCCTGGCGAATTTTACTCTCCTTTCTGCCAAATTCTATCTGTATTCCCGGAGAAAGGCCGGGTGGAGGCTAGAAGTTCACCAGTCTCCTTACCCTTGTGATGAGGTCAAACTCGTTCTCCGTTGGCTGGATGTCCAGTCCGGGCAGTTCCTCGCTGAGCAGGTCAGCCATCTCGTCCGGCGGTCTCTGTGTCGGGTGGCCATTGGGCGCGATCAGCGTGTCCCGGAGGAAGTTGGTGACCTTGGAGAAGCCTCCCAATGTCGTGGTGTACGGGTCTCGGAAAAACTTCTGCACAGAAATGACAAGGATGGTTCTTTTTAGGGTTGCCCCAAAATGTTTCTAGGGAACAGGACATTATTGTTATTTGTTGGCTATAGCTATTATAAACTATAGACTCTTTGGATGCCTCAGTACACCAACTTGGCCCTAGTACACTGGTGAAGCAGAGCTTATTTCTTCATTCATTCATTCATTCATTCATTCATTCATTCATTCATTCATTCATTCATTCATTCATTCATTCATTCATTCATTCATTCATTCATTCATTCATTCATTCATTCATTCATTCATTCATTCATTCATTCATTCATTCATTCACTCACTCACTCCATTCATTCATTCATTCATTCCATATCTTCTTTTATTCAGTCTATCATCATGGTCCCAGTGTAGCATACTGGAGTCTCTTTACTATATATCTTGCCAAAATGTACCTTGAATGTCAATTGTGGCCAGGGATAGATTCCAGTGTTACACTATCAAAAGTTACAACTTAAAAGTCTTACTTAACTATATAATAATAAGAACCAACAAAATCCACACTGTTCTGTTGCCAAATGAAATGACAAAGTTTAATACCAGTGGTTTTGAGCTTGATCAGAAAAGTCAGTAGGAAAAGAAACTTGATTCTAAGAAAGTTCAAGGAAGTCAGGTCACCAGCGACCGTTGCCCTCTCCAGCCCCATGATGCCTGTGTTGTGTCTGCCAGCAAGTCATCTCAGTATCTAACTCTACACTGCTTATACTGGCAACACTCCAAGTCAGAGACAACTTTCAACAGTAAACAAGATTCCTTTAGTAAAGCAGATCTTTCTTGAAGCAGTGGTGAAAAAAATGATCAAGGGAAAAGGAACAAAAACAAAAGTTGACAATGACATCAAAGCTCTAACTTTTTGAGGGTCTGCATGGGGGGATGCTGGCAACATCTATCTCTACACTGCTTATACTGGCAACACTCTAACTCAGAGACAACTTTCAACAGTAAACAAGATTCCTTTGCTAAAGCAGTTTTTGTAGCGATGCACAATGTAGTAAAAAAATCAAAGGAAGAGGAACAAAAACAAAAGTTGACAATGACTTCAAAGCTCAAACTTTTATTCAACTCTACACTGCTTATACTGGCAACTCTCCAAGTCAGAGACAACTTTCAACAGTAAACAAGATTCCTTTACTAATTTAAAAGCAGATCTTTCTTGAAGCGGTGGTGAAAAAATAATCAAGGGAAAAGGAACAAAAACAAAAGTTGACAATGACATCAAAGCTCTAACTTTTTGAGGGTCTGCATGGGGGGTTGCTGGCAACATCTAACTCTTCACTGCTTATACTGGCAACTCTCCAAGTCAGAGACAACTTTCAACAGTAAACAAGATTCCTTTACTAATTTAAAAGCAGATCTTTCTTGAAGCGGTGGTGAAAAAAATAATCAAGGGAAAAGGAACAAAAACAAAAGTTGACAATGACATCAAAGCTCTAACTTTTTGAGGGTCTGCATGGGGGGATGCTGGCAACATCTATCTCTACACTGCTTATACTGGCAACACTCCAACTCAGAGACAACTTTCAACAGTAAACAAGATTCCTTTACTAAAGCAGATTTTTTAAAAGTGATGCACAATGTGGTAAGAAAAATAAAGGAAGAGGAACAAAAACAAAAGTTGACAATGACATCAAAGCTCAAACTTTTCTGAGGATCTGCATGGGGGGATGCTGGTAATGCTTAACAGAATTTTGGTGGGGGATGTTAAAACTCAATGGTAAATTCAGGCAGACTGGCAATGCTTAACAGTCATTAAGCTGTCTTGTAAAAGTGACTTCTTTAGAATGTTCTTTTTATATTCATGGGGGTGTCTTGCAAGACTAGTCTACCAATCTTGGACACTTCATTAGAATTGTTCAACAATGCTTAACGATGAATTCAGGATAAGAAATATGGAACAAAGCAATCAACTAAGCTCCACGAAGAATTTCCCATGGCAACAACACTTATGTTGAATCACAGTGACTGGCTCGCTGTGCCTCACAGAAAAAGGCAGGCAGACACCCTTATTTTCTGGGCCTGCTTTTTTCCTTTGAAATTTGAAGACCTTCTTTCAAGACTCATCTTCCTCCTGAGATACAAACAATCTGACAAGCTTTTCTTGTTTGTTGTGGTTATGTTTTCTAACTTTGTCATCACTCTTTTTTTTTGTGGTGTCTCTTTCCTCCTCCCCAGACATCTTAATTAATGATCTCCCCCATGAAAACAAACAGGCTGATAACAACAGCAGGGAAACTGCTGAGTTTACACAACAGGGGGCAACCAGTAATTATACCTGGGGAGGGAGGACAATCAGGGACCAGCCATTTCACTAACATGTGCATGGGTTATCTTCCTACTGCTCCAACCTGAAGATGTGAAGCCAGATGTTCATCCCTCCACCCCATAAATGAAAAAACGGGGACTAAAGCTTTACAAAATACAAATAAATCAATTTACAAACCAACCTATAACATAGACAAGACAATAAGGTAGAGTAGTGGCAGTGAAATACATTGTAATTATATTAATTTACCAATTTGAAAACATTCTTTTTGCTACATTTCCTCTTCTTCTTCTTCCCTTCCAAACACTGAACTCTGACCTGGCCAATGACCTGATTTGTTGACTTCTCTCACCATGGTAACTGGTGTTGGGTTATATAATGTTGCAATTTTACAGTAGGAAGGATTTGTACTCCTGTCTGACCATATTTATGAATGTATTTGATGATCTGTCTAAAAAAGAAGTCAGTTAGATTTCAGGACCTCCCCTTCTTCCAATGACTTGTTACAGCCCCAAGCCCCCAACTCACAAGTCTTTCAACTTTTATAGCCACTCCTAGCACTTTTAAAATCAATTAGCCCTGGTAGTAAATTTTACCCTTACTAAAAACACACTATTGAGTTAAACAAATCCTTGAAACCACATGTGCCTGTTAATCAATGACAAGATGTGATGATGACTATAGAATTATGTACATCAAGTGAATGAACTGAACAAAAGAAGGGAAAAAAGAAGTGCACAACACCATACGGAAATAGTGAAAGAGCGTGCACCTTCTTTGTCTGACCCGCCGCCCTCAGAAATCGTGTGGCCTTCCCCTTAACATTGGAGTTCTGGATGGCAAGAAAACACGCAACTTAATATGGAAGGGTATGATGGGGGTTTGGAGCAACATATATGGAAGCATATCCTGGAAATGGGGGTTCATCTCAACACATTGCTGTTATGAAAAATCATGTTAGTCATGAAATGATCATACAATTGTGCATTATCAGCTGCAATGAAATGAAATTTTGCTTAGCAAAATGAGAGGAAAATGACTGCTTTGGGATAACACAGAGGATGGTGTTGGGTTTATATAATAAATAGCATGATATAAATTGCTTCTCAATACAATAAAGATGTACCAGGTACTTTTGAATTATGCAAATACAACGTACTTAATACTGAAAGGCCAAGAGACATGCAACACAGTAGATATTACTTCAAAGCAACTATATCCTCCTCGGTTTACAGGGACTAGGACATGCTGTAACCAGGACATGCTCTCATAGCTATAGCAGCTACATGTACATGTGTACATATACATGTAACATACAAGGATTGAAAGATGAGAAAAAATAGGCAAGAATTGACAGATGAGAAAAAGCCCATCTACTTTGAACAACTTGAATGGATATACTGATACTTTTCGGCTTTCTATGTTACCGGCAACTGCCTTGGCCCAATACTCAGTCAAGCTTGTTTGTCACTTTGTTTTTCTAAGCATGGCGGCTGTAACGTTATCTGTATAATTGGTCAAAGTGGTACGGGAAGCTTGCCTTGGTACCAGTCCAGTTTGGCAGTGCTGCGTTGGCAGCTGACTGTACTACATGTACCATGAAAGGACTAGTCACACCTACGCCCTGCGTACAAGTATCTCATTACAAAGGCTGCTGAAATCTGTCTGATAAATCCTCTTTCTGTCCTTGCTGATAACAAGTTTCATCCAGTTCTATCCAGTTCTACCTAGTTCTTGGGAGGACCAAACTTAATCCTAGAAAAATAACATATAAGTCTAAAACTAGTCTTAGCCCATTTCAAAGGCATTTTCGACACAATCTACGCAAACAGGTGGTTTTTATATGCAGGACAAAAACAGGAGGTAGGAGATTCTATCCGTTTCTATGACGACATAACATTTGAGGCATCCCATATATTCAGTCTAATTAACCTTCACCACTGTGCAGGTGTCATAGGTCGCGACATTGGTTGCATGCTGGGAAAACAGAGGCCTGAAGGTTAAGGCTATAGAACTTGATTCTATAGATAATATCCTTTTTGAGTGTCCCAAGTGTAACGAAAAAAATAAATAACAAGAAAAACCTGGAAAAAAAGAATGTACAGTACATAGACTAGAGTTCGCAAACATAAAGGATGAAATGGGTAAAACATAACATATGTACATTGTACACAACAAAATCTTAATTCTTCTTGTACTTGGAACATTTCCAGGCTTCTATATATCAGTAGTTATGCCCTTTCTGCATATTTTCCTCCCAGGAACTCCCTACACAGGAACTTGTTACTAAGATGCAAGTGACATTGCCAATTCTGTCAGTAAAGGAATCTCTTGTTTTCCTTGGGCAGAGCAGGCCAAAGTGGGTATGCCTGCAGCAGTCGTCTGAGGAATTAAAGTTCTTTGGCCTGATACTGGAAGATTCTCTACAACTTACTGGTGGGGACTGGTTTAGTAAGACTTGCTTGCCTTGCCAATTTGTGACAGGAAGACGGCATCTTGTTTTCCACGCAGCTAGAAGGCAACTGTTGTTAATGTACCGTGTACGGATATGTCGTCCGTAAAATTAAGCCTGAACGGACTGATCAGTTAGAGAACCAAGGGTCAGACCACCGATCGTCGGAGGACGCGATCATCTGCCTAAGATCATTACCAGTCTCTGTGGCTACAGCTTCAAGGCTGGAGGCTTCAATTGCTTCAGAGTTGTTTTCCTGCCTTGGCAACTGGGTCTTGAAGGGCACTACGAACTTGAACTTGGTGAGTTATCTTTTTGGTACCCTCTAAGAAGGATTGATTGATGTTTTTGTTGATATTGAGAAACTAGATTGAAGTAAATCAACAGTTAGAAGTGTCAGCTTTTAGGTTGGTAATATTTTGGTACACAGTTCCCAAGCATGATCAAAGCTTGAATTTACATCAATATTACATGAAAGGAAAGATCAAAGAGGCAAATGACATTGACTAAGGGTTCACCAGCCTACATGTAGGTCTGTTTATGTGTTTTTCTACAAAAATCTTGAATGAAAGGAAAAAAAAATCAACCGTTTTTTAATTGAAAACACAAGACGGAAAGTTGTGGGAGTCAATATCTTTAGAACTCTTCAATGGAGATAACTCCTATCAGAATAAAATGCCTTGATGTAGACCAAAACCACCTGTATTAGTCAATTTCCATTTTATTTGTCTGGCTGTCACTAAGCTAAGCTTACCACTTGCCAACTGCTATGCTGTATGGATGAGAGAAATGATACATTAGGCCACAGCAATTTAATTTGTTGCTTCTCGGATTCGCCTCTTCGTTTTTTTCTGATTTGCAAAAAAAAAAATTGATTCTGGTCCTGAATCAACTGAAAAATGCTCATGTTTTGCCCCCCAACAGTTGAGGAAAGTCCTTTTCTTCCTAGTTGTTACAGTTTTCCCATCTATCA